ATCTATTTTCAACACCATGTCATCTGAAAAACATCAAAAACAAAGAAAATCTCAAAACTCAAGATCTGTAAGAGATTTAAGAGCTGCAAGCCACTCTTATAATAATACTATGTATGTCTTCAATTTCTCTACCACTCTGTGTACAACATTAATGTCATTTATCACAAGATTGACTGAAATGTCAATATAGAAATGCATATGTGTATGCATAGAGAAATTGAAGAAGAGCACAGAACTCACAGAATCAGAAGTCAGAACAGAGAGAGCAGAGACAGAAGAAACAGAAGAAGAAGAAGATACAGAATCAGATGAATGATAATAAGAGTTACTCAGAGTCAAACACTTACAACTCAGTGTACACACAATCTTTCTCACAGAGAAGAGAGAGAAAGTAATGAGAGAAGCTTAAGAATAGAAGAGAGTAGTCTCAGCAGTGTTATCATCTTTAATTAGAATGATCTCTGATATCAGAGCAACTAAGAATCATTATTAGTATATAAAAATTATAAAATCAGAGATGAGAACAGTTACTGAATGAACACTCACTAATCTTAGAGTTGTACATATAATTATAACACATACAAGGCTTCTCAGAAAGAGAGAGAGAGACATGAGAGAATGTAGAAAGCAGAATACAGTGTGTGAACAGCTTATTTCTATAATAATATCTCAGATAAGATGTATAAGTCTTACATCTGTGAGTGTAAAAGAGTACAACATTCATATTCTCATTCTCAAAAACACAGATATCTTTTGTCTGTATTACAAAGTCAGATAACAGATATCAGAGAATAGACTGATACAGATCTATCATTCTGAAGAAATTTATTAGAGCAGATATCTTCATAATATTGAACTTTACAGTTATAAAAAGCTTCTTAATATCTATGAATATCACAACTTTATACACAGTAAAACTCATAATAATTTTCTCTAAGAATAGAAAAATCAGTATTAGAAAGAAAAGATGAAAAAGAAAAAGACTTATAATCTTAACACTGTTAAAGAAGAAGATGATTCTTCAGTATAAATAAACAATTATTTTATTATAAATATTTAAAATAAATATAATAATCAGCATCTGTGATCAAGCTTCAGATAGTTATGTTATATACAGTCTTTATACAATAAATTATTCTGAGAGTCAGTAAGAAGAGTGAGAGTATATACACTGAGAAACATGATTTATTAAGTTCATATAACATCTTCTTGAAACAAGAAGAGCTGATAATAAAAGCAGAGACAGTAAAATCAGAAGTAGCAGAAGTAAGAGTCGCGGGAACAGAGATAGCAGAAGCAGGAGAACCAGACACAGAGATAAGTGTAGAAGATTGAGAAGCAGTAGAGAAAGAAACAGAGAGAGAAGCAGCAGAGAAAGAAGTAGCAGAAGAAGTAAGAAGAGATATGAAAAATCTGATTATACATAACACAGACAATTTCTTTATTATCACATTCTCTAAGTTCTTGATCAATGATTCAACATTGAGTTCACTATTATCAGTGAATACAGATCTGTCAATATATAAAGATTCTATATAAATAAAAATAAATATATCAGCATCTGCATCTATGCAAAATTGTGTCAGAAAACATAATCAGAAACTCACTGAGAAGAAAAAATAGTTAAAAATGTATAAGAAGATGAAGAAGATGTGTCATTTATAATAATATATTCTGATAATTGTTAGAAGATAAATAAGTTCTGATTATATTTCACAACATATTACACTTACTGTTAATAAACTGCTTAATATGAGTACTACAATAACACTTGTTATGAGAACAGAGAGTCATTGTCAGAAATGTATACAATGTAATAGATGAATAGATAAAAAGAGTTGAACAGAAAAAGAAGTAGAAATCTTGAATGATAGTGACATTCAATGATGATAATAATGAAGAAGATAATTGAAGAATGAGAAAAATTAGTGAATGAGAGATGTAATATAGTGAAAGTTTCTTTATAAGAGTATATACAGAATACTAGCTGAATCAGAGATAGATCACAAGATCATGAACACTAGTAGCGCGCTAATCCGCATGAAGCTAGAACAGATATTATAATTATGTAAGTGTAACTGAATCTGATGAGAGAGAATGTGATTCAGAAGAATATACAATTATTGAATAATAACACAGCTGCTTCTGAACTTGCTTACAAGTGTAAAGAGAGTCATAGCAGCCACTAATTAATTTAGTGTATGATATTACAATATATAAGAAGCCGGTGTATACCTGTAATTGTACACTGACAAGCAATCTTTGAATCACATATTAATAGACTGACCGTGTGACCGTGTCTGAAATCAGAATCAGATTTTTTAATAGTCTTATTATCAATTCAACTGATCTTATTACACAGTTTTAACATTAGATAGTAGTCTTATACTGTTTCAGTGAGACTTACTATCTACTCTTATCACATTTTTCAAATGAGATCATGATTTTCACTTCTCAATTTAAATTATTTTTATTGCTTTAAATGACTTTAAATCTCATTGAAGTGTTATTAAAAAGCATTACTTTTTAAAAAATTAAAAATAGTCTAAAAAAAACCTTAAAATGTCTAAAAATAGTAACTTTATATCAAGAATGAAACTAAATGAGATCAAATGAGATCACTTTCTTATTTTTTTCAAGTCATGGTTTCATTTTAAGATCTGATATATAGTCACTTTACATGTTTTTTTGATAGTCAGTCCCAGCGGGATTCACGCCAAGAAATGTATAGAACCAGATCAAATGAAATCAAATGTGAAATTCATAATCTCAGTAGTCAGTCTACATATCAACTGTCTATCATCTCAAGACTAATGATACATCAGAACAGATAATTCAGATTATAAAGAATTATCTTTATAAGTTCTATAATTACTTATAAGATGATTGATATAATCTGCTTCTACACACAGAGATCACTATTAATGAACAAGATACTATTTTAATAGACATAAGCTCATTCTTTCTTACACATAGTTATCACATGAAAGTGTTAAATCTTCTAGAGATTACACAGTTTATATTAAATCTCTACAGTTCAATTCAGATCACTGATAATATAGTAATAAAGCTCTAAGATACTCATGATTGAGCAGAGGTCTTTATAACAACTATAAAACAGAATTAAGAGAATTAAATCAATGTTCACTGAGACTCTGCTGAATAATATAAAATAGAAGATCTGATATGATTGAATCTTAAGAATATATAAATCACATATTTATCTCATATATTAGATTACTATCATATCAGATATAAAGTAATAGAAGTTCTAGATAGTTATAACTACTGTCTTAATACATTATCAGAGATTTATAATATATTTTATACAAGCTTATTATACTGTACTATCACTGATCTGTTTTCTTCTCAACTGACTTCTGACTAGCAGTTATCAGACATTATAGAAGAAGATAATAAGCTTGAGTGAGAGATTGAGAATATTCTTGATAAGAGATCTCACAGTCACAGCTGATAATATCTTGTGAAATAAGTTAACTATAATCAACTGATCTGAACTCTGAGTTCTGTATTATCTGAAACAGCAGCTCTTAACTAATGAGAACTGCTTCTGAAAGAAGAGAGTTAATGTAATAAGCTGCATCTAATCAATTATATAGACTATTTTATTACACTTCATAGATTCTTTCACTTCATTCTCAATCATCAATTCTCAGCTATTATAAACATATATAGATTCTTTCACTCTGAAGCTTCACTGTGTACATTATTATATATATGTATAAATATTCACTCTGATTGCTGATTTTTACACTTTCTCTTTCTTTTCTTCTCTAATGTTTTTATCTTTATTATATAAGATCTATTAATATTATACTGATCTATTCAGTGTAGATCTCTTACATTTACTATCAATTCTACAATTAATTTAAAATCAATTTAAAATCAATTTAATACTGAAATTATTCTTGAATTTAATAATAAAGTAAGTGTTTATATAATTTACACTGAATTGATTATTAACTGATTTTCAATCAATTATTAATTACTTAAATATACAGATTGAATTTATTTTATTACTATAATTAATTAATAATTAATTCAAAATTAATTCAAAATTAATTTAAAATTAATTTAATACTGAAATTATTCTTGAATTTAATAATAATACTGAATTGATTATCAACTGATTTTCAATCAATTATTAATTACTTAAATATATAGATTAAATATATTTTTATTACTATAATTAATTCAGAATCAATTCAGAATCAATTTAAAATCAATTTAAAATTAATTATTAAATATTTTTATCTTGATATATTTTAAAATTCTGTAAAACATCTCTTTATATTCTATATGAATTTATCTGTTTATTTAATTGATTATGAATCAGCTATACATGCTTTGATTGATTGATGAGCTGAATGAATGAGTGAATTGAAAGATTAAAAGTCAATTATCAACTGATTATTACTGTATTGTGCGAGGTCAGGGTCATGATTATGTAACAAGGTCAAGTGGCGCACTTAGCGAGGTCAAGTTTTCTGTATACACGGGAACTGGGGACTGGGGAAAGGATATGGAGAGAGACACGCTGCAGCATCATACTTCTGTGGGTTCAAGTCGATTCCGAGCACTGAGCGAGCCCGGGGGTTTGGGGGGGAGAAAGTCTAAACTTCAATATGCTCAGGACTCTCAGATGCACTCCACTCTGCCTCCGCGCCGATGTTTCCGGAAGTTCTATCTGGCCTTGGCTGGAGGCGCAATATTTATTTGAAGTTCCGCGTAAATATATGACTTTTTCCCGCCTCCTTCTCCATGATCTTTCTGCCAGGTAGCTAGATTGTTAACCCTCGCTGCGGGAGCTGTAGAGAAAGGTAGGTTGCCCCAGCTGTTGGATGTTTAACATATATCCATCTCTCTTCACTCTTAAGTCTTCAGTAACTAGTTAGCACTTTTGTCTTGTTGTTGGCCGTGTGTGTGGGGGGGGGAAACTAAATACCTTCCAGCATCGAACGGTTGGAACAAGCTCTAACTACCGCTCCCAATTCCCAAACCTGCCCCATAGCCGCAAGACAAGAAAGACATCACCACAATCCAGCCGGCAAGGAACAAGGAACAAGGAGCAGGAGGGCCCGCGTTTACAACGGTGGCAAACTTGCGTCCCCGGTTTCTCTCACCAAGTAGTCAAGTACAGCAGCGATCGGCTTGCCGTGTGAAGGATCAAACGACGGGGAGACGGGAGAGGAATCTTCATCTCTAGTCCAGCAGCACAACACAGAGCAGCGCCCTATCATGAATATTCCATTCATCGTCTCCATCGTTCCATTATTGCATGATAGGTACCCAAATCGCGCTCCACTCAAAGGCAGAACCGATTTCCCCAGAGAGGGAAAAGAAAAAAAAAGATAACAGATCCCTCCCTACCTTGGCATCCATCCTTGTGCTATGCTATGGAGAGCCTAAGCTAGGCAGTTTAGCTATTAGTTATAGCTTCTCCCAAGTGATGAGCAGCTTCGAGAGAGATAGCTCTCTCCATAGTCCAAACGCTTCTATCCTCCCCCCCAGAGGTGGGATATGGGGAGGGCGCGGACACTGCCGAGGGTAATTGAACTATGTTACCTCTGATTGAACAAATCTATGGATATAATAATAATACACCCGTTCTTCCCCCATGGTTCTTCTTGCTCGTACTCTTTGAATCCCCAGGGTCACCAAAACGCTCTGGCTACAGGGTCCTGAGCTAAGGTTCACCTGGGTAGTACTGTAGTTGCAAGAACTATATTTACGAAATCCTAATAATAAATAACAATATCTACTCCTAGCTACCTTAGGCCTCCCTCAGGCTCACTGTCGCCCGTCATGGCAGGGAAATTCATTCAGTACCTGCGTGGCACCGAAAGCAGGCCAGGTGAAGCTGCTTTGCTGCGCAAGATCGACTTTTTCATCCTCACCTTCTGCTGTCTTATGTACTTTGCCAATTATGTGAGTCCCTCTGGAGTCATTCCTTTTACATTCCTGTCGACGGTATTCTATACAGTTATATAAGTTATAGCTACTGTCGCTTATCTTTTAACAAGTGATGGGTTAAAAGTTGGGCTAATATTTATTATCTGTGCCTGAATAGCTGGATCGGACAAACTTGAACAATGCATACGTCTCCGGGATGAAGGAGGATCTGAACTTCCAGAGGAACCAGCTCAATTTGATTAATACGATTTTTACCGTCGGGTATGGTTGTCAAGTCTACATTCTCTCTGCATTCTTCACACAACGCCGAAATCTAACATCTTTCTTATTGCGCAGATACATTCTCGGCCAGGTGCCCTCCAACTTGGCGCTCATTCATTTCAAACCCAGAATCTTCTTCCCCTGCATGATGTTGTTCTGGGGTGGTTTGACCATGATTACCGCCTCTGTCCAAAAGCCGCAGTCTATCATGGCCATCCGTTTCTTCCTCGGCCTAGCTGAGTCCAGCACTTTCGTTGGTACCCACTATATTCTCGGGTCATGGTACACCGAGCGAGAGCTGGGCAAGAGAAGTGGTATCTTCACTGCCTCAGGACTTGCAGGGACTATGTTTGGTGGCTTTATTCAGACTGGTATCCATAAGTCACTCCACGGCGCCAGAGGAATGGCCGGCTGGAGATGGTTGTTCATTGTATGTTGGGAAGAAATCTCCCTCCTCCCCTGTGTCGCCTCAAAAAACATCAGGAATATACATCCATACAAAGACCAATATGCTAACATGCCCAACTTCAGGTCGACGGCCTCATTACGGTCCCTATTGCCCTGTATGGTCTTTTCCTCTTCCCCGACACCCCCGCTACCACCACTGCTCCATACCTGAACGCGAAACAACGCGCTCTTGCCATCGCCCGCGTCCCCGAGCCGCTCCGCGAACGCGCCCCGCTGAGCCTTGGTTTCGTCAAGAAGATCTTCTCCTCCTGGCACTGGTATGGCTTCGTCATGCTCTGGGTCATCGCAGGAGAGACCGAATCCTTCTCCACCAACGCCCTGCTGGCGCTCTACATGAAATCGCACCCAACAAACAGCTACTCCGTCCCGCAGCTAAATAACTACCCCACCGGCGTGCCGGCAGTCGGGATCGTCTCCACGCTCTTCTGGGCCACGCTGACTGATTTCCTGGGCGGGAAGCGATACCTTGTCGGCTACTGGATTGGTATTACAGGCATTGCTACTTCTGCAATGATTCTTGGCCCCGGGTCGTCCACGGCGACGATCTTCGGCGCGTATTACTGGGCTGGTTCCGTGTATGCGTGCCAGGCAACGTTCTTCGCGTGGGCGAACGACGTCATGCGCTACAAGGACGATGCCATGCGCAGCATTGTCATTGCTAGTATGAATATGGGGAGCAACGTGGTGAACGCGTGGTGGGCTTTGCTGTTCTATTCGGCCGATCAGGCACCTTTCTTCACGGTATGTCGTCCTCACTCTGTTCCCTCCCCTACATTTCTTTTCTTTGACTTGGTCAAGTTTGTATCCGACACACTGACCCTGCTGACCGCATTTATAGAAAGGTATGTGGGCTATGATTGCCTGCTCGATCGCAATGGTCATATGGACCGCTGGTATTGTATACTGCTCCGCCCGAGATGAGAAGCAGGAAGAGGCGCGAAGGCTGGAAGAGGAAGTACCGTCGAAGCTAGAGGAAGCCTAGAACAAGGGTTCCGTTGCTGACATTCTGTGTTATATAATATTGTGTAGAACTAGCTTAGCTTTGACATGGTGCACATTGCTGCCCGATTTAAGACAATAGTGTGCTGTGCATGAATTATCCCCTTTTCTTTATTTTTATAGAGTGTAGTGTGTAGTTGGTTGCTGGATAGCGTAGGGTTGTCTACCTGCTCCATAGCCCTGGAGAAGGTCGGGTCTTATCACATTGTCACGTGGTGATAAGAAAAAAGCTCTCGCTGCTTCCACCGATTATCCTCCCCCTATCTATCACGACAAATTCCACGACAAATTCCTCATCCATCCTCTGAACCAAAACCAGAAGAGCCAAAAAAATAAAATAAAATAAAATAAAGAAAGAAAGGAAAAAGACACCATGGGAAACTCCTCCGCCTCCCGTTCCCCCTCGGAACAATCCCGCCCCTCTTCCCCCTCCGCCCTGGAAACCTCCACCTTGACCCCTCGCTCGCCCTCCACAACCGTCACAACCGCCCCCTCCTCCCCGACCCACCAACACCCCTCCACAGCGCTCCTTTTAGATGACATCTTCGGCTCCTCCCCTCCGAACCAACATCAACATTCCTTAGAAAGCAACAACAACAACAACAGCAACAATAATAATAATATCGCCCCTCAACCCCACCAACGGGACCTCGCCCGCGAACCCTCCGACCTCCCCTTCCTGCGCCGCCAACACGTCACAGCCGGCTACCGCGATGGCATCTCCGTGGCCAAAGGCGAGCATGTTCAGCGCGGCTTTGATGGGGGATTCCCTGTTGGTGCGGAGTTGGGGTTGCGCGTTGGGACTGTGTTGGGGGTTTTGGAGGGGTTGGTGGCCACTGCTGCTGTAGCTGCTCGCCGTGCTGGTGGTGGCCGTGGTGACGGGGATGCTAAGGGGAGTGGAACATGGCGGGGTGCAGGAGACGATATTGCGGCCATGTTTGAGGCGGCGAAGAAGGAGTTAAGTGTGCAGAATGTGTTTGGGGCTACTGCGGAGGATGTTGGTGGGGAAGGGGTAGCGGAGCAGACGGGAAATGGTAATGGTGGTGATGGTGATGGTGGTGGTGGGAGGCGCGAGTGGGTAGACCCCTGTGTGAGGCTGGCGAAGGCTGGGGATGAGGTTGTGACGAGGTGGGAAGGGAGGGTTAGGGAGTTGTTGGCCGCGACCAGATGAACAGGGTGTGCCTACCGTTGATATATGTGTGTGTGACTTGGGCTCTGTGCCCTGCAGCTCCTGTCCGGAGAAGCGTCCTGTGGCATCGTGTTGGTTGGGGAGCTGTGCAGTGCGTATTGCGGGGGACACTGGACGGCAGGGGAGAACTATAGCGTCAGGACGCAGACGGGCGTTGCTCGCAGCCTACTAGCGATATACATGTCGTCTAACGATCGTTCTCGGGACCGGCGCCTTTTCACTTCTCTATGACCTCACCACCGCTTCTCTATTATACATTCTTAAGGACGAGGAAGCTCAGGATGCTAATTTCCGGCTGCGGGTGACGTGATATGAATCATGAGCTTTGTTTGGAACTGGTATGTATATCTCCGCCCTATAGCTTTCCATCCCCTTGGCTTTTGCACCGCTTATCTTTCCTCATTCAGTTTCCTTCTCCCTGCCCGTCATACCCGTCCACACGCGCGTTTTGTGTATATAAGTTTCGTGCTAATTTGTAAGGAAGGATAGTGTGAACACACTCTACTCGAGATAGATATCAAGATAGCGTTTTAGTGCATGACACTTAATTCAAGCTCCCATGAGCCAATTTATGTCCTCTCAATATTAGGCAGAGATAAGATAGGAAAAATAGATGAATGGGCATTGAACCACACGTAGATATCGGGGATATGGTTATTATGATTATGATTATTATTCGAACCACTTCCCTCCGCTTCGCCCCAGGCCGTGTCAAGTATAAGCACACATGCTGGCAATCGTCGTAAAACTGACTATACTCCCATATGCAGTTTCGCAACGTTGGCCATATTTAATAGTAAATAACCGCCCAACACGTGAATGAAGAAGGGAAGACAAGAAATGTTCTGTTCCTGAACTTCACTGACGTGGTTTTCTACGAAGTGGTCTGGCGTAGAATAAGCAGGTTGGATTTCAAATTGATACTGGGAAATTCTTTTGGGATCGCATGGAGGATATTTATGATTCATGTTTGTTGGAACGGGTTGTTGAGCATCCATCGATATGTAAGGTAGGAGTTTGCTCGACAGGATCACTGAATTAGAATGGCAGGCTTCTGAGAGCCTGATAACGAGCGTCTTTTGGGCAATCACGGACAAGAAAGAGGGGTATGCGGTCGGGAGATGGTGTTATTTTTGAAGACGGTCGATCATGCTCATAAAGAGTGTGACTGTGACTTCAGAGATGGCGGGCATAGTTCTAGGATCACTATAAAACGTATGGTAATTGTCGCGGCCAAATGTGGTGAAACGTGTTGAAACGGTGCTCATGGCGGGCGTAAATTGACGGATGTATCATCAGCATTGTCGACCTGGACACGTGGAGCAACACTTGCCCTGGAATCAATTGCAAGCTCCAACCTGCTGTGACGGCTGGTTGCTTATGTTATGACATCATATTATGCGTAGAATCAAGCTGCTCATTGGCTTCAATGACCCGGTTGGCCTGTGTAGATGTAGGTACAAATATCTGAGCTCCATGGTTGGTTGGTATATTGTAATCTTCCACTTATAAATGGGCAGAGTCAGTGATCAAAATGTGTAACAAGAGATCAAAAATATGCCTCCAATATCGAGTGGCGAACTCCTAGGCGCATAGGTTCCCCCATCATGTAACTTCGACTCATCAACTCGTGAGGCCCGGTGGATGAAGTTGGATACATGGGGTTCGTCTGGGATGTAGGAGGAGAAGGACACGAGATATTTCAAGTCAGATGTGGCGTCCGAAAGTGGTTCTTCAGGTCGAGTAATTAGATCGATCTTTTGACTGCAACGAGTGGTGAAGTAAAATCGACGCATAATACTATACATTGGGCATGATGCTGTAGAGGCAGCCAACTAAAATAAGCAAGATGAACAGTAGGTAGGGCAATAAAACCTCGTAATTTATATTTTCAATGCAAGCAGTAGACTGAGAATCAATCAATGAACCATGGTGTTTTCAATTCAACTTGCCCTTGCATGTAGGAAGCGATGTCTAGAATAGCGGCATTCAAGTCCAGGGTAAAAAATCCGAATCCAAATCAGTATATGGACGTCAACATTCGACTCTGTATAAATAGTAGTTAAGATGGTAGGTGGTCCAGTCTGAGCTGAAAGTGCGACGTGTAAACTTGATCCATGGTTTGAACCATGGGTAGGCGTTTCGCTTTTAGGCATAGTTCGCTTTCCATGATAAACGTAATTGCAGCATCCGAGATTGGGTCATAAAGAAGGGCCCGCCAGGCGAGCATTTAGAGAGCGCCAGACTTTCAACAATGGGAGCTGTCATCTTCATGGCCTAATATGGATTCGTTGGCACAAGGGCATGAACAATTTGAGGGGCGTGAGATGTCCAGACAGGGATGTTTCTGAATGTGGATAGGATGGAGCTTGCCAGCTCATCAGAGGCTAAGTTAACCTGGTCCAGCGCCAGTTTCAAGGAGTCCTGTTGGCGGCCTAGGGCACTCATGAGCGTAGTACGACATGCCCGCTCTTTGATACTGTTCCTCGGCAGTATTCAAAATGACCTAAATATGGATGGTTTTTGCGCTGACGGCAGATTGTACGTGTGGAGACTAAAATAATCCCACCATGGGTGTGTCGTAGGGCAGGAAGTTGAAATTCTCCGACTCCCAATGTCCTGACCAGCGCAAATCTGTTGGATCCCATATGTAAACCACGCCCCATCTGGCGTTATTGGGTTCTGTGTTCCTCTGGGGCAGATTCTTGTGCCCAAGTTTGCTACTAGAGTGCTGCAGCTTGCGAACAAGTATCATGTTCGCTCTCCCAGTCCCTGCCCAGTATCGAAAAGACCATCTCTGAAGTAGGAGAGAGAAGCCGGCAGAGCGAGGGAAGGGAGTCAACGACGAAATAATCCAGTGAGAGGGGAGCTGATCTGGAAGTTCAGTCCGTTTATTGACATTCGTCACTGTCAAACATTCCGCAACAAGGCCGGAGGCACGGAGATATTGAGGAATATCTATCTCTGGTTGTTCGCAGTAACCGGGGACATAGGCACTTTGTTGGGCTGGCGCACAATTGATCTTTTAGTAGACAGTTGAAGTTGTTGCAGAAGTTGTTTCGGTGTGTGAGAGTCAAAAGAAAAAGCAATCCGCCGCATTTCCCAATCCGGCGAGCAATCAGCCTCAACTTCTCCATCGCACGTCGCCTCGTTCTCACACACAAAACAATTCCCTGAACACCACACCTCCCACGCGCTGCCTGTCCCGCCAGTGCGTGTTCTAATCATGTTGCGGCGTTGACCCAATTGAGCTGTGTATGGCCCTGAACGATGCTGTCTCGGTCGTCCAACGAGCTTCTGGTGCTGGCTGTCTCTCCTCCACCAGCCATCTGAATTAAATCCGCGCTGCAAGCTCATTTGACCAGCCACCGCATTCGGCTCCAACACAACAACAACAACACCACCATTGTCTCTCGACAATTGTCGTTCTGGGCTTTGGCTGCTTTTCTGGCTCTTTTAATTACTTGTCTCTAGTGATTTTTATTCATACATTTTGGTTTGCTTGCTTGTTTGTTGAAAAATTACTGCTGTCCGGCTAAGTTTACCAGCTTGCCAGCTCATCCTGGACGTCTCAATTCCCTCCAAACCTCTCCTGGGCTATTAATTACTGTTGGACAGGTTACTAAGAAGTTCCACACCTGTTCTGGGGAAGGATAATAGCCTCAATTGTGCTCTCATAACTTCGCGTTGTCCGCCCCGGCACATTCAAACCCCCGTTTAGCTCTGTCTCCAGCACCTCCACAACCCTTTGACGAGCCCTACGAAGTTTACGACCAGCCTACGTTAACGTCCCCATCCGCACGGCAGCGCCAGCAGCTGCGCCCTGCCCAGATAAACCCTCATCATTCTGAATTACCCTCGCGATCTCCTTCTCGATCTGCTTCACCTACCTCCTTAGGTCGTACCCGCTTGCTGCGGAGGTGCTCTGGCCTTGAAAATATACGCAGCGCTTCTCCTGCCCTAGGCCCTCGTCGACCATCAATTGCTAGGTTCGCGACGCAACTAGCAACTGTCGAGCCGGATCTAGCAATCGATCGTGCTAGCGCACTCCAGAATCCACCCCTAGAAGCACAGCCTGGGGGAGGTCACACAACCTACCAGAGCTCGCTGCAACAAACTGGTGAATCATTCTGGCCCCGACGAACCAATCGTATTTCATCAAACACTGCGTCTGCTATCCTCTGGGTATTGGAAGAGGCTATTCGCCAGCCCTTCATTTTTACCCCAGACCTGAGCGAGCTTAACGCCTCAATGTCAGAGCTCGTTGGTGGAACCGTGCCCTCCGGATCTACGGGCAATGGCCGGCCCCAAAATGGAACCTCGCGACCCGCTCCAGGACCCATTGCCGGCCAGTCGAATCCTCCTAGTGGAGTTAGAACCCCGACTGATATTATGAGACAACGTCGTGACCGTGAAGCGCGCAAGAAAGCAGAGCAGGAGGCAAGGGAGAGAGACAAGCAGGAAACAGAATGGCGATTGCAGCACCAGCAGGAGCTGCAACAACAGCAAATTCAGCAGTTCCCCCAGCCGGGGCGACATTTGCCAGCTGCTGGCGCTGCCGGCGAACCTTCGGGTCAACGAAGACAAGGGGGAGGAGTCGCCCCGCAAGATCAAAGCTCGAGGCGTGACCGAGTGAGCGGTGGGAGCACTTCACGAATACAGGCATCTGCTGCTCCAGCTAGTACGACATCCGGTCTGCAGCCCGTTGTGCCATCTTCAAGTACACGACAACACGCCGTCCCTCCCGAGTCACGTATTCCCGGTGATGGAGCTCAGCAGCCTCAAACTTCCCGACAGCGAGGGGCGTCAATTCCGCAACATCACCAGAGACCTGCTCCTGCATTGTCCCAACCATCTGCCCGAACTACAACAGGAGCATTTGCGCAGCCGGGTACTTCGTCATCACAGGCAAGACCCCAAACTATGCCTGCGCAAGCCGCTCCTCCACCATTCGAAGAGCCTAGAACCTCCCAGACACAACAAACCGAACCTCCCCATCAATCCAGCCAACAGACTCAATCACAGACTCAACAACAGCAAAGTAGACCCAGGGCTGCATTTCCTCATGCCTTTGAACGTTGGGAGACGCTTTCCTCACATTGGGAAGGGTTGACGGGATACTGGATACGCCGGTTGGACCAAAACAACGAGGAACTAAGCCGTGACCCTCTCAGCCAGCAGATGTCAAGGCAAATCACTGATCTTTCCGCGGCTGGTGCAAATTTGTTCCATGCAGTGGTTGAGTTGCAACGCTTGCGGGCGTCCTCGGAACGGAAATTCCAACGCTGGTTTTTCGACACACGTGCCGAACAGGAACGCGCCCAGGAGGTCCAGGCGGAGCTGGAGAGACTATTAAGAACTGAACGGCAGGCTCGCGCGGAGGCAGCAAATTCAATTGCGAAAGCCGAAAGCGACAAGTTAAAGGCGGAGGAGCTAGTTCGGGAAATGCGTCGTGAATTACAGATATCGAAAGATGAAGCGAGGCGTGCTTGGGAGGAACTTGGCAGAAGAGAACAGGAAGAACGCGACCGCACGGTATCTTTAAGAAACGGTGAGCCAACTATAGTTGGCGGTGTGCAAGTAGTCCCCATGATGCAATCCGCTCTTAGCAGACAGACTAGTACAAATCGTCCACCAACAAGAGAAGGTCCTTACCCTGGTGGCCCTGGTCCCACAACAATGGGCGGGCAAACTAGACAAGACGTCCCTGAGCCAACTGAACATGATGCATACGACAGCCAAGTCTCGTCTCCAACAGCCACTGATCCCTTTGTCGAAACCACCCGTGAATCCGGCCGCCCGTCACATCATGACGTTGGAAGCTCACCTTCAAGACAACCGCCAACATTTACTGCCGCCATGTCTGCTGCACGAACGGCTACTACCCAAACTCAGGCTGCTGCAACCTCTAGCCCATATAGTCAATCCCACCATGCTGAGGACTCACACGGGCGATTCTACCAGCATGAACCTTCCGCTCTCCACGGCAGCGAGCCCAAGGTCACAGGGGCCGATGAGCGCACATACATACCAACTAGCGAGCCAGGCGGCAGCGACCTTGGATCGGAGGAGTATGACCACCCGGAGGCGGCATACAGGCGGAACACACAAGACCGGGATCGTCGGATCGTATATCCCCGCACCATCTCGGACGACAGCGATGATTATGAGAATATGGAACACATGCCCGAAGGCGAATTCAGCCAGCGATACGAGGGAGTGGGTGGCATTGAGTACGGCGGCGGACCACCTGGTAGTTCACCTGAAGATATTCAAGGTGCTGGGTATGGCTCTAACGTCGACTATAGCGGATCTGGTTGGGGGGGTGCACCTACGTGGGATTCTGTGACGCCGCGACATCGACACCCCACACGGCTCAGTGACGTTTTAGAAGAAGATGAGAGAAGTCGAACAAGCCCGAGCCGTGCGAGCCAGGCAAGTCGTGGCATGCATTAAAGCAAATAGATGAAACGAATAATAAACGAGCGAACACCTCCCCAAGTTCTTGTTTTGGGTGTACTTTTGGTCATGCTCTCTCTCTCTTTTTTTCTTCTTTTCTTTTTTTTCTTTTTCTTTTCTTTTTTGGCTATTTTTGGGGCGCGGTTAAACTTCCTTTAAAAATGGCATGAAGGGGGTGGTGGTTAGTTGATGTGATGAAAATGCATTTGGCTGTATTCGACAGTTCCCACCACCAAGTTCCAAACTCCCAGCCTTCATTCCATTGTCCTTCTCGGCATGTTAGAATCTTCGCATATCCTACCGGAACCTGGCATATGCTGGCTGTCCCTCCCTCCTCGGCTTCTGTAAAACTGTCAGTTGCTTTACTCCTTAACCCGTCATTACCACCTTGTTTGACTGGTATCCGCATGATTATAGATCTGAATCAAGTTTGCGTGAGCGTCTGTTTGATTTGATTGATATCTTCCTTTACTTTTCCCTTTCGTGTGATGAGTCTCCCCACTTCTTTTGTTCCTCATTCATGCTTATTCCTTGTATTGATTTTTTGCTTTTGTTAATTTTTCTTCCTCTTTAACGCTTTTCCACCCTTGTATTCTGTTATGAGTACAATCCTTTTTACATGGCTGGCATGTTCTGATATCTTGATATTCATTTAATCAATTTCCTTTCTCGATTTCGATACCCACCTTAGTGCATATAATGTCATTTTCCCGCCCCCATCCTCCTCATTATCAAAGGGTTAAAAATAAAAGACAAAAGGATTTCTCGATTTCCCCTTTTTTCTGATCACTTGTGAGGGATGGATGGGAGATAGAATTTATCGTTATATGATGATGCATATTGCCATGCTGGCGGATACTTTTTCAAAACAATCTCCTTAATATTAGATATTAGCTGTGCGAGTATATTATTTAATAAGTTATTAAAACATATTTACATGCATATAAGAAGTTTATATGCAGATATGCCCTTGAGCCGTTCATATAGCCCTTTCCATCCCATTTATTAAGATTAATTTTCGGAAAATTGGCGTAGTGATTGGAGTCTCGGGTCGCGCAGTGGTGACTTGTGGTGATGGAGAGTAGTTCAGGGGGGTCACTTTTGAGTTAATTTGCTAGCAGCAAGGGGCCTGTTCGGGATTGGAACGATGGTCCCTCTGAGCTGGGGTTCCCTGAAGGGTCCTGGCCTCCGTGAAATAAACGAGTGTTGGCTCTTTAATCATTCTCCTGAAAAAGGGCAGGCTTTTCCCAGCCAACATGGAGATAGTGTCGGCTTTTGCTCCTTATTGTGCTATTATTGTTGGATTGAACAGGCATACTTGCATTTCACTTTTTGTTTCCCGCTTTGTTTGTGCCAGTGTGGCTGTTCGAGACTTCTTTGAATTTTGATTTTAATTTTTTTTCCCTTGTATCCTGGTGATAGCAGGCAGCGATCCCCTCCATCCCTCCCCTCTTCTGTTGTGTAACTAGAATGAAATTCCAAATAGAAAAGGGTCAGGCCTAAAATCCCTCCACGATAAGTTTAAAAAGCCCCGTTTCTGGTCAGAAGGCGGTCTGTCGTTATAGTGGCTAAGATATAAGGAATCCTCTGGTATGATACGGTGACAATCTCGAAGACCTGCACACTGACAGCCCGCCGCCGATATCCACTGAGGATCATACGGTGTTTCGCAAGCTCCGGCGTTTATCCAAGTCGTGATCCTTTGCCTAACTAGATTCTTCCCTTCTACCCTGTCAACAAGCAATCGAAATTCAGAAGAGCAGTCCGGGCATCGCATGAATGTACATTCCCTCTTCCCCCTGATTTTGGAGAAAAGGAGCGTTGGAAACGTGCCATTCCGAGAGTGGAAAAAATTCGCAGATGGCAAAACTGGCCCTTCTTTACCACATAACACTGCATACTGGTCTGTTTGCAGAACTAGATTGCCATTGACGATCTTGGCGCTACCAAATAAACGCCGAAATCTGAAATGTTCAGGGCATCCAAGTTCTCCCGCACAACAACCAATCTCGGATATCGGGCATCCATAGTCCTTCCCGTATCGGTGACGATTCATAACCTCTTTAGCCAGGGAGAACGGGAGATGGTAAAAACAGTCCCAAAACTTTATAGGTCTGTTCACCTCATCACAAGGTCTTGGCTGGAATGATATATGACGGTTTAGTTTCCGACGGCGATGGAAAACCGCGCATTGATGACAGAGAACATGTTGAGGAAAGAAAATCTCCAGCCTCGCGAGGAGGCTAACGCGATCTTTCTTGTTTTCAATGAGCTTCCGAACACCGGGGGACCCGCCGATTATGAACCATATGGCTTTGCATGTCACAGCGAGTGCTGCTCCATCCGCGGGAGGGATTGCCTTAATAAGATAATAAATGACATCGTCACTTAAGTTGAAAAATGGTGGTAGACCGTCTTGATAGGAAACTTGAACCGTCTCCTTTCTCCTACTGCGTTTGATGCCCCGTGATAGCTTCCCGACACGCCTTGTTAGCGCTTCGGATGCTTTTACGTAGTAATCCTTTAGGGAATGCTTCTCCATCGTTCACTTTGCTAGAAAACGCACAGATATTCCGGACACGTAGTGAGGAGAGGCCCTTGGTTTCCGAACGTTTGTCAACTTCACCGCGAAGCAGATAATTATTTCGTAGAGTTGCGCGGTTGAAAATTCCTGCCTATTTTGTATCGATTCTTGAGTCTTGTGTGGTGTGAAAAGAAACTTTATGACATCATGTAACTAGTCTCTGACTGTCAGTTATGGACAAGTTTGGGGAACGAAAATAGATATAGGGCCACTTCTTGAATTGAAGTAAGAGATGGACTAGAACATTGTTCAGAAGCAAGGTTGCAGCGGAAGGAATACACGTATGCATCTGACGGACTCGGGTATTCATGTAGAAAGGATCGGAAAGCTTAAGCTGAATAAGAATAGCGGAATGCCATCAGTATCCCAAATCCGCCTGTTCTATATATTTTTGACTCTGATTTTGAGTTTTAGATTTGGAGGCATTTGATCCAGCAACTGCCGTTTTGTAATTCAATAATAAGTGTACTAACCCCGAGATTGGAAGAATTATTGTAAACTCTAATCATAAATGCTAGGAAGGCTATATATCTATCAGTTATGGATACCTAGGTAGGGCCTGATTTCTCAGGAGTCGGACGAGGAAAAAAAAAAAAAAAAAAAAAAAAAAAAAAACTTGTTCTGGCTCTTTTCAGATGCCGCAACTTTCCGGCGGCCCCCATCTGGCAAGCAGGGCGTTGGATGAGAGCCTTGGAGTTCTAATATCTCAATGTGACCAGATGTCCCCGTTGATGGTCGGAGTAATTGGGATAAATAAAGCCTCTAGGAGCATGTACGGGAGTATAGTAGGTAGTTACAGTACAGTACAAGGACTGGTGATTGATATTGAAAGGGCGGATCCGTGGTTAATCGCAATCTCCATTCCAGTCGCGTAGGTAAAAGTATAGTAATAATTCTTTCAATAAAGTGGACAAGCACATAAGGAACGAGTAAATAATAATAATAACTACGCGGAGTAACGTAACGTCTCTTGAATTTCGACTCGGCTCGGTCGACTCCGAAAAGACAGATTAATCAGCAGTTGATCATGTGATAAAATATTGGAATGGAGCAACTCGCCAGTAAATAAATATCCAATTGCTGAACAAGATCTGTTGATCCTCTCATTTTAACTGTTTAATTGGGAGCAAAAGAAAATAAACGTCAACATGGCTTCCAGTCGCACTTCATTTATCTCCCGTTGGATGAAACATGCTGCTTTCCAATCCCCTACTCCGTGGGGAGCAGCACCATCAGCCCTCCCAATCTCTCAGCGCATCGCAAGCAGATCATACTCGTCGAGTCGGAGGTCACTACAAGCTCCCGGTACTCGGATTAGATCACCTTCATTTTTACTATTGATTCGGTCGAATCCTCAAACTGCTTCTTTCTCCACAACCTCACCCCGCCCGAAATCCAAAACCATTCAGCAATTAAAGGCTCGCGCTTCAACCGGGCCATTCTCATGGAAGGCCGCCGCATTGTTCGTCGTAACAGGCGTGGGAATGATATTTTACTTTCGCTATGAGAAAGCGCGGCTTGAGCGAAAGAGAATCGCCGAGATGAGCAAGGGTGTTGGCAAGCCAAAAGTTGGCGGACCCTTCATCCTGAAGGATTTGGATGGCAACGAATTCACAGAAGAAAATTTAAAAGGAAAATATAGCTTCGTGGGTCTTCCATGTCTATTTCCCATTTCATTCGTTTTTATTTAGTCATTTTGAGAGGATATAGGCTTTTCATTAGAATTAAATTTCTTACATTTCAGCATCATCCTAGGTTTATTTCGGCTTCACTCATTGTCCTGATATTTGCCCAGACGAACTCGACAAAATGGCCGAGATAATCGATATTGTGAAAGCCAAATCAAACAACAAAACCGTTTTGCGCCCCGTTTTCATTACCTGCGATCCAGCCCGCGACAGCGCCGATGTGTTGCGCAAGTATCTGGCGGAATTCCATAAGGGGATTATTGGATTGACAGGCACGTATGAGCAGGTGAAGAATGTGTGCAAGCAGTACCGCGTGTATTTCAGTACACCGCGGAATATAACACCGGGAGAGGACTATCTCGTTGACCACAGCATTTATTTCTACCTAATGGGTATGTCAAGTACCCCCATTGATATACCCCAAACTTTTATCCCCGGGCGCATACTTTAGTCTGCTAGGGATTAAATATGACTAACTTTCAACCTTCTGTAGATCCGGAGGGAGACTTTGTTGAATGTATCGGCCGTCAAGATACTGCTGAAACTGCTGCTGCTACCATTCTAGCCCATATCAATGACTGGAAGAGGGAAGGCAAGCCCATCAACACCGAGGAGGAATAGTTTTGTGATGAATAAGTAAAAGACTTTGATTCAAGTCTCCGCTCTTCATATCACTCCCTTTTTCTTCCTTATTGACCTTCGCGTTTTGGGAGCATAGTGCTCTTAACACCGGAGGGCACCACACCCCCAAAAATGTACACCTCCTCTCTACACTACTTGGTTATGGAGTTGGTATCCGAGGATTGGGCATGCATTAAGACTTATTTTCCTTGCTGTATTATATTTCATATTACTTCCCCCGTTATACACTTCTTATTTGTTAAAAAGGTGTAACCGCCCAACCATGTACACTAGCGAAGCTCAAGTACAAACATTGGGTTGAGCCCCCACAATTGAACGATCAAGTTTGGACAAGAGCCATTGCTATTTAAAAAGCAATTATTGACCCCGTTCACCCGGGAAGAATTCCTGCATAAACGGCCTGCGGTTTTAAATCCATGGTTGACCAGTTCTCTAGAATTCCAAGCTCGGGAAATGCTTCCATGAATTAGCTTAGAACAGCGTTGAAAAAAACACTCGCTGATTGGTCTCCATGTTCTGGGTCCTATCCTCCTTAGGGACCGCTCTATGACCATTTAAGTTGCCTTATACCCCGCCAGACCAAAACTTGGAAGCAGGAAGACCTTGCTTGACAGCACTTGAACGGCGCATTTTCCTAATTGGTTGATACAAATTACCGCAACCGCGATCACAGAATACCATGGCGGAGCAAAGCAAGAAAAGTGAAATGCTCTACCGCAGAGTAGGCAATTCAGGACTTCATGTCTCTGTGATATCGTTGGGAGGATGGCTCACGTATGTTCGCCTAAATCACGGCTTTGAATAGACATTTATACTGACGGAAAATACAGCTATGGCGGGCATGTAGATGAAGGTAAAACACGCTTCATGGATTCATTGATTATTTCATGTTAGAGAGCAACAAGGGGCGATTACACTAGAATGGGTTTCAAGATAGCTAATGCATACCTGTTTTTTCCAGAGGGAACAATGAAGTGCATGAAGCAGGCCTATGACCTAGGCATCAACTTCTTTGACACGGCTGAGAGGTAATTGTTCTAATGTTCGCGGTAAATTTCTGATACAGAGGTACGGGTCATTGATTCTTTCCCCTCAGCTATGCTGCTGGCAAATCCGAAATTGCTATGGGCCGGGCCATTAAGGAGTTTAAATGGAAACGCAACGATCTGGTCATCAGCACAAAGGTTCTAAATTGCCCACGAACTACTCTACACTCTCATACATAGAGCCATCTGCTAACTGATGAGTTCAAGGTCAATTTTGGCACCGCCCATGGGGACTTAGAGATCAACAACTGTGGACTGTCTCGAAAGCATATTATCGAGGGAACATTGGCTTCCCTCAAACGTTTGGAGCTGGACTATGTCGACATTATCTATGCCCATCGTCCTGATAGGCTTACCCCCATGGAAGAGGTAGTTCGGGCTTTCAACTACCTCATTAACAAAGGGCTGGCATTCTACTGGGGAACGTCAATGTGGTCAGCGGACGAGATTGCTGAAGCGACTGGAGTTGCCAAATCGCTCGGATTAATCGGGCCGATTGTTGAACAGCCACTTTACAACATGATCGACCGGCAAAAAGTCGAGTCTGAATACCAGCGAGTGTTGTCCCGGTGTGGAGTTGGATTGACCGTTTTCTCGCCGCTGAAGGGGGGCATTTTGACGGGAAAATACAATGAAGCGGCGGCAGAACCTCCCAAGGATTCACGGATTGCGGTCAGCCAGGATAAGTATACCTCGTCTGTCAGAAAGGGATACGGGAACGAGGCCTGGAACGCGGACATCCAGAAAGTGGCCAAGCTCAAGGTACGTTCTTGACTATAATCTTAAGAAATTATTACTTCCCTATTTTCAGTCCCTCTCTACCTTTTACGGGCAATGGGTACTTCATAGAAGATATCTGACCGTATATGAAAAGCCAATCGCCGATCGACTTGGATGCAAACTATCTGCGCTTGCCCTTGCCTGGTGCTTGAAGAATGAACACGTGAGTTCTGTCATCACGGGCGCCTCGAGACCGGAGCAGGTCGTCGAGAACGTCGGGAGCTTGAAGGTGCTTCCCAAGCTCACTCCGGAGATAATGGCCGAGATCGACGACCTGTTGGGCAATAAACCCCAACTCGATCAGGCTAGATTTGGTTAAGCTGTTGTCAATGTGGATGGCGGAGGGGCTCTGGAAGATGGTTCAATGGCTGTATTCTCTGTTAGTCTACGGAGTACTCCGTCCTACGATTAGTAGTTATCATATTAGATTTTAGTCTAGCTATGCAGGTCAACTTATTTTCTTATTACTCCATATCTGTGACGGCGGAGTTGAGACGGAACCCACATCCTAGTTTCTACCCTAATGGAGCTTCTAACTATATTGCAAGCCACTCCACGACAATGCCAACCGAGATAACGTCGCCAATTGCTCGTATTGGCTCGCTCATAGCGATATATACGGAGTACATTAATAAGTGTAATAATGGTAAAACACCCCCCACCAACCGACAGTCGATCTCGTATAATCTTCATTATGCCCTCCAGAAATGCATTTTATCATGGTCCTAGCTGTGATTCCAGCAAATTTTTTTGGGGAATATCAATTTCAATCCGCCCTCATGTATTGCTATTCTCTTCTGTTTGATAACCTTGGGCTGCGTCTCTGTTCTCTGATCCTTCAATTCTGAGAGTTCAAGTCAACCAGCATGGCCTGCTTGATCCCTATACCATAAGACAGAGTGCAATCCCCTACGATAATGAACTCCTGATATTTGTAAGATATTCAATATCTCTCAGTAGCGCCCTGCATCACTGGGTTCCGTTTCCTAGAGAAGTCGGAGAATTTGACAAACCACCATAGCTCATATCGTCAAATAACATCCTCATAATGAGCCCAGATACGAAGACGGCTTTCAAAATTGCATATAAACCACGTAAACAGGTTCAAGTTGTTTGTATCCAGTATTGAAAGACAGTGGATGATCTTACCCAGAGCTCCATCTAGACCAAATACATTTCCAAACCACCCGCTAGATTCTTGATACATTTCGCCCCGCTTTCCGGCTCCAGGGAACAAATCTCGTTGCATTAATACCATGGAAGGAGCTGTATCCCCAAACTTGGAACATCGGTGATCCCGAAGCTGTTTTCTCGCCACCCTGAAAAAGACATTGTTGTACGGTAGTATTCGAAGCCAGTCATTTGCACTCGCTAGCAGATAAAGACGGAGATGGAACGAAATGAGGCGCCATTTATGATGAACCACAAGTGGAACATCCGTCAGGCCAACCATCTGCCCCCGAACCCCTCTGCATAGTTGTCAGGCAGGATAGATATGTTCCAATCTTGGTTAGTGTTAAATAGCTAACTATCACCTGACCAATCCCCTGACTAAACCAAAGAGTTGCCTTTTCCGACGGGCGGCGCAGCCATTCCAACACCACACCCAGAGCTTTCCCAACACCCTCTAAACTCTTGTCTTTTGCCTCCAATATCCACCTCAATCTTGTTTTGTCCATGAGATCACAATATGGCTTCATATAGCCCTAGAGATAGAGGGTACCGCGGGAACCCGACCAATCCGCCACCTCGCCGCAACGACTTGAACGGACGCATGTATGATGATAGAACCTCCCGCTCCCGCTCCCGCTCCCGCTCCTACTCTCCTCCACACCCTGTCTCACGATCCAGGGACCGTAGATACGGCTCACCAGGCGGTACACGCTCTCCTCCGCATGGTAAAATCAACTTCGCGCACTGGGGCGAATAAATGGATACATCTCTCGTTTTGAGCTTGTGCTGATTTCTTCATTTCTGTTTCCTACTTGAAGACACTTCTCGGACTCCTCGTGGGCCAGCGGCGGATAGGATGCATCCCGGCGGGGATGGCGAAATCTCAACTTCTAGGGATTACCGATCTAGGGAGCGAGACGACTACCGGCGCCCCACTTGGTCCCCTCCACGACACCGTGGAAGGTCGTCATATAGGGACCGTGACCGGGAGGGATATCGCTCCCCTGGATATGACAGTCGCAGCAGAAGCCACAGCAGAAGTCGTAGTGGATCCAGAAGCCGCAGCCAACGCGGCCGCCGACGTCCTTACTACGGCCAGGAAAGTCGTGAGATCATGATGGAAGGCCTACCAGTGGACATGAATGAAGACGACGTTCGACCATTCCTCCCTTTCCCCACTATAATGCACAGCAATCTGAATCCCCATTGATATGAGAGGCTGCACTACGTTTTCGTCATCTTTTCTTGGAAGACAGTATGCTGAGATGTGTTTGTCGCCGGTCATAATTCCGGTCGATTCTTTCTTGTAACAGATTTTGAATGAACTCACCCAATATTACCATGTCGGGACGTTGGAGGATGTTCGTGTCATCCGCGATCGTCAAACGAGTACGTCTAATTTAATTTCCCACATTTTGTTGTGAACAATACTGATCCTTCTGTGTAGAGATATCCCGCCAGCTGGGCTTTCTTCGGTTCCCTACAATAGATGAATCTCGTGAATTCCTGGAACGCAATTTTCCTACCATATATCTCTATGGGGACAGCGGATCACATACTGATGAGCGTGGTACGAGGGTTAGAATAGCTTATAGTCGAGAAAGGGAAGACCGTAATCGAATCAAAGCTGAAGGAGAGTGGACATGCAAGATCGTGAGTCATTAGATTCGCTTCCTACTGGGTGACTTTAACTAACGAGCACTTATTTTAGTGTTCCATAGTCAATTACGCAACCCGACAGCGCTGTTTCAGATGCCAAGCAGTTCGAGCCGGTATGTACTTTGGGATGTCTAGCTTCACGAGCTCTAAAGCTGACTAGCGAAGATTTTGTTCAACTTCCTCCTGGGATAGCCAACCCTCCACGCGTTGCGAATCACGGTGACAACGATGTAGCTCCCGACGGGACACCATCCCAATTTATTCTTCTTCGAGGCCTAGAGGCGTCGGTTACAGAGGAACTTCTTGCCAAAGGGGTAGCAAAACTTTATAAGCCAACGCCGGGTTCAGAGGGACATGGTGCAGCCACCGCCGCCAAAAAGGGCGCCAAGGTTGCGTCTACGACAGGAGATGCCAATCTCGGGGCACGAGAAGGCTCAATACGGCGCGTATTGCTCATACGAGATCGTCGAAGTAACGAAAGTTGGAAGTACGGCTTTGCGGAGTTTGCAACCGTAGAAGTAAGTACAGCTTGCTTCTAGTTTAAATCCATTTTATTGATTCCATATTAATTAACGCGCCTGTAGGATGCTCAAGCCGCACTGGCTCGATATAACTCCTTCGAAACATTCACAATTTCGTCGAAACCTGTTCTAGCTAGTTATATCCACGCCGGGGTCTTCGTTCCCGTCATAAACCCTACAGCCAGCACTGATCGATTCACTTTCAGTCCACTTGGAAACCCTTCCATGAAATTAGCATACTGGGACGAGACTGCTTATGCAACTGAGTTGACGGTGTCGACAGAAGATCTGGATAAGAACCGTTCCAAACCCCGAGCGACAAAATCCACCGTGGCTGACAAGAACCCCAAGACTAGCAAGGAGGTTGAAAAGGTAAAGAAGAGAAAGGCGGATGCCGGAGGATCCCTCAGCACAAAGAAGATTGCTGTTCCTAGCCACTTGCAGTTTTGGAGCAACCGTCACGCTGAGCTGCATGGTATTCAGCGAGATGAACCAAAGGACGGAGGCTCGGGCAGCGACCAAAAACAGGGTGGCAGCGAAGGTGGCTCATCTTCTGGGTCACCTGCACCAACACAGTCCTACGTCGATCTTAACCGTAAATGCTGTTATCTGTGCATGCGCCAATTTAAAACGGAAGCGGAAGTGAACAAGCACGAGAGACTCAGTCAGCTTCACGGTGAGAACATGCAAAATGAAGGTCTTAAGACCAAAGCCTTGGCGAAATTGGCGAAGAAACGGGACCAGGCCGAACATCATCCTTCTTCAGAATATCGTGACCGGGCCAAAGAACGTCGTCAGGCTTTCGGGCCATCGGTAAAAGCGAAGGAGAAGAAAGTGGAAAAGGAAATTGAGGAAGCACCACAGGTTCCTCTCATTTCGAAAGGCGCAGCTCTTCTCGGCAAAATGGGCTGGTCTGCTGGTTCTGGACTCGGCGCGGAAGGCTCAGGGATGACAGCCCCAATCGCTACTGATCTGTATGTGCAAGGCGTTGGGTTGGGTGCTCAGGGAGGCAAAGTTGGCGATGCCGTTCAGGAAGCCGGAAGGAATACGAGGGGTAGGTATGATGAGTTCCTCGAGAAGACAAAGGAAACTGCACGTGAGCGATACGAGCGAATGTCGAAGGAGGAGTAGGTTGATAGTATCGTGATATGTATCCTTTTTACCCTGTACTACTACCCAACAGCTAGCTTTTATTTTTCAGTTCTATGTATTTGCCTACCTCATTAGGATACGGTATTTCATTTATGACATTTGTTATGCCATTTGTACGACGTAGCTTTTATAGGTTAAGTTTTCCTGAAATATCTTATATCCATTTTAATCTGTCCTCTCGTCCAAAATTCTTTAAAAGCGCTATGATACAGTAGATTTTTCGGGACGTAATCCAACGGAACAAGAGAATGTCATGTTTACATGACATGATTCCAAGGTCGTGCGCCGCACGCTCTAAATCGTGGTGATTATAAGAACCCCTTTCAACGTCCCGGGAGAACCGAAATATACCTAATTGTCCTCTTCTCAAGATCACTCGCATTCGCAACATGGCGTGGCGAGTTATATATGCCCTCCAATTCATTCCCCCAATATATCCTCCACCGGCTTCCCCCTCATCCAAACACATGCAAAATATCCCAACACATGCAAAATATCCCAACCCTATCCCTACCTCTCCTTCCCCCTCTCATTGACATATTCCCGCTCCACCGCACTCCCTCTCTTCTCCTTCTCCGTCTTCCGATTCATCACACTAACAACCCATTCCTCCAACTCCTCCTCGACATCCTGCTCCGACCGTCCCGTCCCATCTATTCCCAACCCGCCCCTCACCTTCCGCCTCAAGTCTTCCATGGTATTAATGTCAAACGCGTACATTCCCGCCCCGACGCCAATCATTGCTACGCTGGCGACATTTATCGTTGCGATGTTGAGTGCTTCGAGGGCCTCGAGGGCTCCGTTAACAGGCGGTTGGTGGAAGGGAGCACTGGTGTACGTAGGCGGGAGTGAGCTCATGCGCTTGCGGAGCAGGGCGCGGCGGGTTATGATGGAGGAGAGGATGAGGAAGGCCGTGCCGCCGACGAGGAGCTTTGTAGAGTTTGGGATGCGGGATTTTTTGGAGGGTTGAAGTGTCAGTGCTGGTGGTGTTTGTGATTGGGACTGGGTAGTTTCATTGGGTTGGCTGGCGGTGGACGACATTTTTGATAGCGGTGATGGCGCCGTTCCTGGCGATGGTGAGAAGCTAGGAATATAAGAAGCCATGTAGAGGAATGAAGTGTAGTTTTGTTCACATCGGGTTCGGTCTTGTCGGCTCTTCTTGAAATTGTGGTTGTTATTGGAGCCAATTGGGGATTAATACAAAAGCTGCGGGAGTAATAAATGATGGCAGTTGAAACTCCGAGCGGGAATTTGGAGTGCCCGATACCGTTTATCTAGTTTGGGTTAGCGTGACGCGGCCTTAGGAAAATCGTCCGAAGTTTCTCAAACAGGCAGTTCTCAACTTCGACAACTTCCATCAATTATACGTATCAACGCCCATCTCCTTGTTGATATAATAATTCCCCAGTCAACACTCCATCATAACTGGTGGTCTACCACCATTTATCGCATCCTTGCGGCCTGGTCTATACTGGAATCGCACTTCTGATCACTGGAACGTGGACTACCTCCGCCCCACGCCAATTTGAGAACAAACCGCCCTCCAGGCTAAATAGACTATTTTGATCTTGGACAACTAGGGGGGAAAGAAACAAATAAAGATTTTGGCAAGTTTAATACTTAGGGATCATGGTTTTTTGCAAATGCGCTACTACGAACAGCTACCTGCTTGCAAAATCAAACAAATTACATAACAGTCGGGCAAACCAGGAATACGTGTGACACCGAAAGGAATGTACATGTACGTGTACATGTACATGAATTCATCTTTCCTTCGGATTTGTTCACAGTTATGCGCCATCAACTAAGGGTGTCAACCAATCAGTTTGGCTTCTTTATGCAACTCCCACATGATGCAGGGTCCAAGTTCATCCACACGCTTGTCGACCTGTTTAAATCCACATTTCATTAAAACCCGATTGCTGGCCCCATTTAAAGCGTCGGTAACGGCATGCAGGACCAAGTCATTCTTAGGCTTTGACAGTGGATCACTGTTATTCTCTGGGTGAACTGTGGCAGCAAATCCCCACCATACGTCGATGGCGGCCCGAACGGCTTCGGTTGCATATCCTTTCCCCCAGTAGTCGGGATGTAAGAGGTATCCAAGTTCGGTCCCGTCGTTTCTTTTGTAGAAGCCAATACACGCGATCGCCCGGCTTAAATTGGAAGCTTCGAACACAGTTAAACCGAGGGCGTCCGGTCGGTTGACCTTAAGCAGATGTTCCTTGGTGGCAGCGATGTCGGCGTCAGGGACCCTAGTGCTACTGTTGGATGTGAGTGTTATTCTCTAGTTGATACCCATTGCACTCGCTTTCTATAGACCAACAGCGGATAGGAGTGCGAACTGGGACAAGAGAAGGGCAATAACATGTGCTTTGCTATCTACAAAAGCATAATGATCGGAGTGCATGGGGAAGGGAATCGGCGAAATATACGGGTATTGGAGAAAAGCCAATTTCTTTCGCGAGAGGAGGGGGTTCATAAGCTCAAGCAAATGTGCGGTTCAATGTTACCTCCACTTCATGACATCCATCCGTGAACGGATAGCAAATATATCGTTTGCATCCAACTCGGGAACCAAATGTCTCATGAACAATCTCGATGTTCGGATTTCGAGTGGGACGTCAGAAATCGGGGCCGCATGCTGAGGTTCAGCGGTGGTCGTTGGTTCTGAGCCGTTTTCCATTTTCGGGCTCAACTAAAATTCAGACTTTCAAACGCAATTCGGAATTGATTTATTATTATCGATGGCCAGTTTCACAGTCAGCGGTTGTCCGGCTACCATGATCCACCAGTTCTGAAGATCTCGAACCTTTGCGAGAGATGAAATGAGACAGAACATCGTGGTGGGCGGGGAAGCGCCAAACCGCGATGAGGAGTGTCGCCAAATCGACACGAGATTTCCTTGGCATGACTCAAGTTGCCAACGGGATAAGTGTTGATATCGTCGCTTCCAGGTCGGAGACTTATCCGCATTCGTCCGGTCAATATTAATTCTCGACGTCAGCGAATGCCGGCGAACAAGTTTTTCCGGAACGGACATGTCAGGTTGAACATGGTCCATGTCAGATTTAAGCTGCGTCACAAGTTCACAAAAGCTGTTTGAAAGCGCGTCATTTGTGAGCTTACGGCCGATAGTTGATCAGCCCGACCAAGCCTTGGTGTGATGGCTTGGCAAGGGATGCCCAAGCTCCGAGCTTGTTGGCGGGCATCTCAGCCCTGCAAGGTGGCTGAATGCTTTCCCAACGGTGTCTGATGCTTCTTGCTGCTGCTAACAGTCATGGACGCATCCCCGTGCAACATCAGCTTGCGTATCTCAATGGGTGGATGATAATGGGGAGGGAATCGTTCGCTTCATTAATCTAAAACATATTATTGCTTGCCCACCTTGCTCTCGCTATAACGAGGTGTGAGGTTGTGACTTTGTTGGTGCATTATCAATTATTCAGGAACTTCTGGGGCTCCTTGAATTTTGTGAGACTATTTTCTTTTTTATCTCGATCTTTTTTTAGCGAAAACTCCATTGGAGGTCAGCACCATTGAGGGCAGCTCAGCTCCCCGCTTGAGAAGCCAATGGAGAATAATGATTGACATAAATTCCGCACGATATGCACCTGCTAACCAGAACTAGGTCTTCGAGACATGTCGGGCCTTGTAGCAAACCAAACAGAACCATCGCCTAGATTAATTAACTTCGAGGGACAAGGGGTCCAGATAAAAACTGCCCCTTCAAAAAACTCCATGGAAGCTCTATGAAGGCACGTCAGAGCTACTTGTTAGCGGGCTTATTCATACTGGTTTGACTTATTCAGCCAGGACACATGCGGCACGAGCCCGGGCATCTCACATTTGACGAGCAAGCAAAAACTTAGATTGACCAATAAAACGAGTCTAAACCATCCTATGACTAGCGATTTCAAGGTCGACCTTGTTTACGCTAACACCTCATCTCCTAATATTTTGAGCTATTTTTATATTCTTGCTCCAGGGGCTTTCTCGACGGCATATATATCCCTTCTCTATTTAAGAGCATTGGTCCTCACTTCTGACTTCCTCAGTTCCTGGGTATCAAATTGAACGACAGAGATAAAATAGCCAGCCCTATTTGTATACTCCCTTCTTTTTATTTCAATTCCTATTTCCCCGCAAAAGACCCAGATTGCCAGAGATGGGAAGATTTAGCGACTGCACAGAGATAACTCTGCAATGCCCTGTTGAGGCGACTATCTATGGGTACCAGCCTAATCCGGTAGTCAACCTGATATGCCTTATTATCTTTGGGGTACTATTTTTTGTTGCCGTTTGGCAGACCATCAAATACAAGACATACTCATTCGGGATTGCTATGTCTGTAGGCTGTTTGGGTGAAGCCATAGGTATGTTCAACCAGATCTTCGATTGGACCGGTAGATGGCTGACTCATATCTTACTGATTTATCTTGAACAGGATATGGTGGCCGACTCATGCTCAATAGAAACCCCTGGGACTCCATTGGTTTCCAAATCCAGATCTGCACTCTCATCATCGCACCGTCATTCTTCACTGCCGCCATATACCTCACGCTAAAACATATATGTCTCGCTTTGGGGCCTCATCTATCAGTCATAAAGCCATGGCTCTATACGTGGATATTTATCAGCTTCGACGTGCTATCCCTTACGCTCCAGGGTATTGGTGGCGGCCTCGCATCAAGTGGGGAGACCGAATCAGACAAAGATATGGGAGCACAAATCATGCTTGCTGGTATCGTGTGGCAAGTCGTCACATTGATTATTTTCGGTGGTTTGGCAGGGCACTTCTTCTGGCGCCTGCTTGGCGAAGGTGGCCGCCGAATGACCGTCGAGTCTCAGAAAGTGTGGGGGAACACAAAATTCAGAAGGTCCCTCATTGGCTTGGGTATTTCATTCTTCATGATCTTTGCTCGATGCACTTATCGGTATGTCTGCATCTACCTGACTTTGGGCTACCCTTTACTCCTACTTCCCTCTCAGCTTTTACTAACAGAACCTTGCAGAATCGCCGAGATGGTCGGAGGATGGGCCAATCATATTATGCAAGACGAAGTCTCATTTGTGATTCTAGAAGGAGTGTACGTTTCATATTTCTTGCCTTCCATCTTATATTTACCTCCCTAATCCTCTTAAAGAGATCAACGAAACTAACCAGTTACCGCAACATAGTATGTGCATAATCGCTGCCATTCTTCTTACTGTCTTCCATCCAGGCACCCACTTCCCTCAAATGCGAACAGATTATCAGAAGAGCGTTGACCAGTTCTCGATGGTTTCGCGCCAACAAACTGAAGCCGCATATGTCGAAGTTGACCGCCAGCCACTCATCGATGGTCAAAATCAAGATTCGGAATACCGAGGCGGCCTAGCGCCAGGCGCCATGGTGCCTCCTGCGCCGTGAGCGGGACAAGATCGCAGACCGAATTGCTGTAGGATATTGGCTTAACCGACTGATGGGCTTTATGACAAATGGTTTTTCTTTCTAATTACGGGCATGAGATATGAACGAACATAAGGAGTTATTTTCTTTTATCCTTGATTGAATGTCCTAGACTCTGATATTTTTTCTCTATATCAATGCTGTGGTAGAGCGAAATCACATGTTTTCCCTCAAATTTACTAACCAAAACCTATTTCATTCCGGTGGGATTATAAATGTGATATGTTGAAAGAAAACAAGCTACACGAATCAGTTACTTAGAAAGGAATGAGGACAAAGGTAAATTGTTAGAAGAAAATATATCACCCTATATTGCGCCATCGCTCGTCTATCATGAGATGAGAGAAGTGCGTTAAAACAAAAATCGAAAAAATTTCGGCTCCATAGTTCTCGTATCATTCGTTGTATATCGTTCATTATCGTCATTATCGTTGGTCATGAGTTGTGATACCTGGGGTAGGGTGTGAGGCCCCAAGTGTGAGAAACAGTCGTGTTCATCTTCCAATCTCAGAAGAAAACCAAAATAAAAACATAAAACTCCAAAGTATGAAATATGCAACTCTAAATCCACCTCCATCACACCTTGTTCGATACTGGAAAGTCAGAAGGGGTATCCATGTAACTTCGAAATAAGTATCACACAACCCCAGAACCATCGTCCAGTGTGACGAACATCTCGACTTGGCCGACTCTCCGCAGCCGATCAATCCCAAGATGTTCCTGCCCGTCACGGCCATGGTACAAGCCAAACGCATATAGCGCTTTTTCGCCCTCCCCAGGTGGCGCTACAATCACTCTAGTTACCAGATCTGCTTTCGTCCTCGGCTGGCGGAATACCTTATCCGATAGAAGAGGACTCTGGTAAAGGAAACTGATAATATCCGCGTACGAGTAAATGGCGTGGGGGAGGTAGCGTTTACGCCGCGGCCAAAGAACGAGGAATGAGAGGGCATAAACGATCACGAATGCCATTAGGGTGTAGTATGCAGGCAGAAAAGTGGAGATACGGATTTGATCCTGATCGGGGTAGTAGCGGGCCATGAAAACGCCACCTGCGAGGACGGGGATAGCAAGTGACGCAAGGCTCATGAAAGAGGTGTATGCGACCTTGTAATGGCCGGTGCTGAGGGCGAGGACGGTGACTTCTAACGGTAAGCAAGACGGGTAGTTTAGCAGGAGGCTCCTCTCAGCAAGAGCACCATTGGGGGATGAGAGGTCGCAAAACGGTTGGACGGCGCGGAAATATTGGTCGATTGGTTGCCAGAGGAGGAAGAGAACTATTCCGATCAGAGACGGAATGAAGCTGTACAGGAAGTTGGAGGAGGAGAAACTAGTTGACGAGGGTAGTGTAGGTAAGAGAGGGTCGAATCCGTCTCTGATGGGTTGCTTTACGAACGTGACGACGATGAAAGCAATCATCAAGACATTTGCGATGACGATCCAAGCAACAACGTACGTATCCCTTAAAAACCACTCTGTCCAGCGATATCGAACGAATGGAGAGTGTATGTTCCTTTCGAAGGAGTCCTTGTTGTTGAGGTGTTGTCGCTCGCTGTCGGCATGTTCGGGAGCGGAGGTTTGGGATTCCCGTTTCGGATTGGAAGGTGATTTCTCCCCCATTGCGCTCTCCTCGCCAATGCCATAGAGAAAGTCCTGGTCATTGACGTCTGAGGACCAATATCCCAAACGTAGTGTACTAGGTAATAGGTCCTGCTCAACGGCCTGAGAAATTTCAGTCCGATGAAACTGATCTAGCACGTTAGACTTTTGAATCAGGGGGATTATATCGGCAAGACAGACGGGATCCCAAAGAAGCCCGCTTTCTCGCCAGTTAAAACGAAGCATAATCCCTAGCACTGCCATGGCGAGCAATCCATAAAGCGCAATCAGCGTTCCGGCTACACCCCGAGTAGTCGCCCATTGAAACCTTTCGACCTGGTCGTAGTAGCGAGCTACGAACAGCGAACTTTGTAGCGGGATAGTAAGAATATTAACTGCCCATACTATGGCGAGGAAGTTTCCAGTCAGCCATTCACCGTGGAGGAAAGGCGTGATATCCGGAAACAAGAAGTTGCGAGGCAGGATCCGAATCTTTTGCAGAGCATTCTCAGATCCACGACCTGACGCTAACATTGTCAGGGGAAGGATTCGATAGATAGCAGACTGCACGACAAACAGCCAAAGTGTAATTAAAATGGCAAGTAGCGATGGTAAAAATTGAACCACAAAATATCGCGAACCACCCAACCCATCGTAAGCCCATAGTCCGGCATGTTGCTGAGACCAGACGATACAAAATATGAGCGCTGCCATCATGGTGAGACAGACAGTAGTTAATGAAATAAGAGCTAGAGGTCGGAGGGCTAGAGGAACGAAGTTAAGCGGTGGATATTGGTGACCTTCTGAAGGGGGTGTTACTGGAAGCAGTATATTTGAAACTATGCCGTTAAGTTAGTCTCTTCGGCAGCTAATATGAGGCGAGCAATGGTCTAGCTTACCTGGTGTGTCGCAGCGGTCTAATAGTTGGGGCTCCTTTTTTTGTTGCTCCACGGGCTGTGTCGTGGTGGTGCTGGTGTAATATCCCAGGCCTTCATCTGGGATGATACGTTCAACAGGATACTCAGTGCTGGCAACCGAGCCATGTCGTCCCTCTCCAAGTAATTCTTCATCACGAGTTAATTGATCGATAGCGAATCTAATGTACGGCATATCATCCACGCCGGGTGATGGTGTTCCACTTTCTGTTACCCTAGCACCATCTTGAACATCCGGGGCGATGTATTTTTGTCTGGGGGGTTGTTCGGGGTCACGGGTTATTCCGCTGCTACCAGCTGTTCCGGTTATATCGTCTTGGGTAGTTCGAGAGGACATGTTGGGAGATGGAGAAGATTTTCGAGTGGGAGGAGTTGCATATCGCACAACTGTGACTTTGCTGTTATTTGAAGCTTGGGAGATGTCAGAGAAAGAATAATAGTCGTCTGAGGCAGCGATGGATTGCTGGGATGAGGAGTGAATTAATTGAGGCTGGTTAGCTATGCAAAACTCTGTCAGCATAAATATTCGCCTAGCAGGGAATATTACCATGCGCTAACTTACATTTTACAGCTTTCAAGTTGGCGGGAACTGGTTGGGGCATGACCGGTCGTTATTACTAGGGGGTATATAGAGAGCAATCCAAAAATTGTAGTAAAATAGAAACATGCAAATCAATATGCCATTGAAATACAAAAGCTCATGAAAATAAATCCGGTTCCGTCGGGACTGCTGGTATTAATGGGTCCTTGAGTGGCAGGTTTGACACGATAATTAATGATATGCGGTGGTTGGTGACTGGCGGGCTGGGAGGTTGGGCGAGCGCCCAGCTTCCCAGCCACCAAGCCAACGCCGTGGCAGGCTCTTATTTGCGAGTTACAAACGCGATTTTGTGACCACTTCTACTGCCCTATTTTGGGCTGTCTCATATCTATGTGATTAGATGTGATTGCAGAGGATTCCCAGCCCCTCAAAACTGCCCATCCTCCATACAAACAATAAACAATGCAGAGAAATGACGTTGGCGGTAAAAGCCGCACAGACCAACCCTCCGATCACGGGAAGACCTAATCTCTAACCTAGTGCTATTTAAGCTTAGTGGATCGCAATCCCGGCCCAAACCAAAACCTTAAATATGGACTGTGGGGCACAGGCACCACAGCCCCACGAGGCCGTCGCTGTCCGGACTTTGGGGCAACCTGACGATGAAATAAATCTGAGCCTGAATTCCATGAAATCCAGTGAGCAAAATGTCTTTCTATAGCGCGCGGGTCTTAGGCTGGTCGTCATCGGAATGCCTTCATTAAGATTTTTTGACACCGCACCCCTTATGGACTAATTTGTAGCATGGTAGGGACGCCTTCAAATTTGGGTTTCCTACCTCCTATAGATACCCTTGACCTCGCTAAGTGCGCCACTTGACCTCGTTATGTAAGCTGACCTCGCAAATGTGGTGTGCGGCCTAGACTGGCCGGCGGGACCATGAATTTCACATTTGGTCCCATTTGGTCTGGTCCCATACATTTCTTGGTGTGAGTCCCACCAGAACTGTATAATTTCGGTTTGCGTTGAGCTGGCCGCTTCGCGCCCGCCGCGCCGCGCTTGCCCCGTTGCCGCCTGGCGCCCTCCCCATCCGGGCATGGCCTCGCCCGTTCGGGTCTGGCGTCGTCTGTTCCGGGCTTAGACTCCCGCTCGCCGCGTCGGTGGGCCGTGACATCACAGTCATCAGGCCTGTCTGACACCTATATAAACCTCCTCCGGCTCCCACTTTCTTCCACGGCCTTGCTCTTCCTTTTTCAACTTTCTCATTTCTTTCTCTCCTGTGCTCACCGACCCAGCCCCCCCCCCTGGGTCCCCCGGTGCTAATGGCGCCACCTCGCACCCCCTTCTTCCTTCTCACCCGCCTCATTGGCTCGCTACCGATTGCCGACGATGCCAGTGCTGCCGTCGCATTCGCTTCGCTCCGCTCCGGCGCCTGGGCCGGGTCCTGCATGGAGGGACCTGCCATGCTGTGCTGATTCTTGCTGGCGGATGTGCCAGCAGACCGGCAGCCAGGCACCTGCACTGTGAGGCCCGTTTACCGTCCGTTTCACCTCATGTCCCTTCTCACGAAAATCACTGGGAAGAGGTGCCTTGAGACCTTTGAGACCTCCCTCTCCTCCGACCAGCCATGTGTACTGCGTGGGTTTCTTTTTCCCTCTGTCAGCCACAGGAGAATCCAAATGAGCTGCACCTCTGTACCGGAAATTACCTGTCTGAGAACAACGTCCTTCAACCCCGCTTCTGCGACGCGTTTTCTCCCTGTGCTCAAACTGCAACCCATGATGGAAAAAAAGCGCCTTGCATGCTTGCTCCACCTCTGTGCTTAGTTCGCGAAGGATCGCCGTGTGTTTCATTCCCCTCACTTGGGCCAGCTGTCAATGGCAAAAATCCCTCACCCCAACGGACGCAGGCAGTGAGCGTCAGGCCCGTCTTATGTGGCACCCGGTGCGTATGCACCTCGGCCGGGTTTCCTGCATATGGAAGCCTTGTTCATTCTAGATCTCACCATTCTCACCACTCCCACCACCATCCCAGCAACTCGGTGAATCGGAGAGAGATGATTGAAGGGCCTTTCCAATGTAAGGGAGGTCGCCCCCGTCGCAGCTATCTCCGCGGTGACATGGAGCTGCGCCTTCTTCTTCCCCTTTCAATCATTTCAACCCCAGTGACAATTGTGATACTTGTTTGGTCCGGACCAAGGGGATCTTGCAATGATTTGCATCTTCAGCCTTTCCAGAGAAACCTGGTGAATTCACAAGAGAAGACGGGTAATTTCTGCAACAGTGGCTCTCAATCTGATAGTCAAATTTCGAGATCCCTGCGCGACTCAGCCGCTCCTGATCATTGCATGCAACGACGGTTGGTACATGGGACGGGGAAAAGAAAAAAAAAAAAGGATCAAGAATGCAGAGATAGAGGGGCAGATCTTGTGAGGGCCGCGCTCTCTCTGACAGTTTCTCCAGAGGCAGATTCGAATTTTTCCTGCACGCGAATCGGCCGTCTCATACACTTCAAAGTCTGCCTTGCCGTGGGGCCGATAACCGTATCCGGAGAGTTACCTCGATCCGTGGCGAGGCACCACTGCCCAGCTGACGTGGCTTTGATGAAGAATACATATAGCGCAAAATCGCATCAGAGAACAATTGACCAGCGAACTCCTTTGCTTTCTATCTTTGCTTTTTTCTCCCAGGGTGTGAATGATTCCTCGAGCAGGAGCAGAAGATGAGGGAAAAGGATGAGAAACTATCACTTGATTTCAGTGTCAACAATTTGTCCTTGCTCTGCTTGTAGCTGGGATAGCTGAAACTGAATTCTTCACCCTTTCACTGATGCAAAGAATGTACATAGAGTCTATATAAGAGGCCTGCTTTCCCGGTCTGTTTGAATGTGAGAGAATGAATCATATACACTGTGAAGTTTAACACTCACCAGCTATGATTTCCCTTCTCTAATAATCATGGCTGTGAATATGAACTTCATCATCCTGTACTGCTCACTTCTCTTCAAGTCTCTCAAGCCTCTCCAGCCTCTCCCCATCAAACCCTCTATTTGTGAACATCATCTTTCCCAGCTCACTTCTATGCCCTCAGCACAATTCATTATTTCTGAACCACTATTTAACACTCATTCATCTCCCTGGCCCTCTCTTCCCTTCTGTAGAGATACTCTAAGTGGCCTGAACAGCCAGATCAGTGTTTGAGCATCAAACACTCTGTTGAACAAGTTCAATACTGAGCTGGAACATCTGGACATCATGGAGATGGTTAACATGAGCAGTCACAGCTCCATCAACTGAGATGATGTTGAGCCATTCAGCGCCCGTGCTGCCAGTGTGATTCAATGTAGGCGCCCTTCATTCAAGTGAAAATCTCCTGAGCCATCTGCTGATTGAAAATACAATGTTTTCTCCAGGCTCAACCGCGCCAGACACCATGCCTCACCGGGAAGCCTCAAGTGATAGATCTTCACAGAAGGCTGACTGATCATCAGCTCAGAAAACCATCTCTTCTCTCTCTGATCATGATCACAATCGCGATCCAGTGCTGGACAAGTGTGAACCAGAAGCCTCATGTTCTCTGCCTGGCCTGGCAGGTGTCTCTGACCAACATCTGTACAGTTTAGCAAAGTTACTGAGGTCAGTAGGCTGCCAGAGTAAGTCAGCTTCTGCAACTTTCTGTTGATTTGTCTGTGAAGCTCTGCCTTCTGACACTGCCTTCAGCAGAACAACTGATTCTCATGAACTTGAAGAGTGATGGAGAAAATCCTCTGAACAATGATGAATTCAGAAGGACTATTGATCTCAATGTGCGCGCCAGTGCCACGGGCGGAGAGGTTGTGAATACACTTTCCAGCCCGGGAGCCAAATTGAAGCCTCAAACTCCTGTCAGCCCTGGAAAGCACTCTGGAGAAGCATGCAGGCTGATGGGGCGGGGACAAGTGCAATGCATGGATGTTTGAGTCGAGATTCCTTCCCAGCCAGACGCTCTCCAGAAGGGAGAGGGCCGAGGCAACAGGAGCAACCTCAGTGACAACAGTGACTTCAATCACTTCAGCGACTGCAGCAGTGATGACGATGACGACGATGAGGAGTATCAGGAAAGTGATGATGATGACCATGTCGCCAGGCGGCCATGCAAGCGGCGGAAACTCTAGACGCGGCGGTCCTCCAGGTCTGTCATCACATTTGCTGCTTGCATGGGAGATCCCTCTCCAGCTGCTATGGTAGATGATAAGTCAGGGAAATGCAATCCAACAATGAAGCACAGTAAAAACTCAGCTGATGATTCTTCCAGAGTGTTCACTGTCTCACCAGATGATGCAGTGACAAATCACTCAGGTGATGATATATCAGTCTCCAGCTTTCTTTCAAGCTACATGATCAGGTTCAAAGTGTGCTACACTATAACATTCTGTCATGAGGAGACTGACTGACTTCTGTCAGCAAATGCACACAGTCTGTCAAGCCTCAGTTGTGAAGAGCAGCCATCTGTCATGACTGATACACATGTGCCATTTACCTCAGAGGATGATGTGCTGCTGAAGAAACTCAAGAAGGACAGCAAGTCATGGGATGAGATCATCAAGTGCTTCCCGGGCAGATTCAAGGCAACTCTGCAGGTGCAGTAGTCCACCAAGCTGAAGCATCACACCCCACTGCCAACTCGCAAGTCAAAGTTGAAGTTGAGGGTGAGAAAACATGAATGCTGTTGAGCAAGAATATCCCAACAGCTGCTACAAAGAGGCTGCCACAGCTATACACATACCCTCCACTTACGGAAATCTCCCTTTACCGCGGGATGGAGTGGCCACTTCCGATGCATCCCACGCCGGTCTCTCTTCACGGATTAGGAGTGGCTGGCTGAAAAGGTAGTGAATCCTGGGATCCGCGCGCGAGGGGACAGGTCAATGGGAGATCGCAAAGGGGGCGGTGGACACGGGATTGAAAAGTCGATTGGTCAGGATCTTCATCTGTTATAATGTGTCAATATCAATTTCAGCCCTGATTTGTTTCATACTATGCCTGTCTTGATTGTTTTCTTGTTTGCTTCTGTTCCCTTCATTTGATCTTCTTTTGCTTCTCAGATTTCATTCCAGCTCAGGAGCTCTATTGATATTGCCTATCACATTCCCGCTCAAGGTCTACCTGGCCTATGTCATGATATAGTATTTTCTTTGTGTGTGTTCCTTTGTTTGTTTGTTTGCTCTTCCCCCTTTTTTCTTTGTTTCTCACTTTGGTTTTTCTTTCAATCATTTCAGTTTTGTCTATTTTGTCTAGCCCCGGAGAAAAGTATAAAAAGCCTCCCCGATTCTGGATATCCATATATATATTCTTAAACTGTAATAGATCATTGACTGGAATTTCCATTTGCATCTCAACAGAATCCCCGTCGCTCTTCTCACGTGCAATAGGATGTTTTAAAATAGAATGTTTTAAAGCATTCACCACCATGCCGAATGCCAACTGTAGCATGCGAAGACTTTTGTCAACCTCCTCAGATGTCAAAAGCAGTGACAATATGTCTCAGCAAGACAAAATCATGGAGATCCATAGCCAGGTGCTCAAAATCATTGAAATACTTGGGCAAATGTCCACGATACTCGAGTCAATAGAAACACAGAGTAAAGAACAATATGATGCTGATCTACGGGCCTCTGTGAAAGGAAATCGGGATGTAGCACGTAGCATTTGAGTGTCGGCAAGCATTATTGCTGACTATTCACCAAGGTACGTCGAGAATGAGTATAATTGAATGAAATGAATGGGAATCGACATCGAGTTATTGAGATTGTTGGTTCCTTGCCTTGGCTGTCCGTGAGATAAAAATCCGACGCGGAAGACAAAGTGACTTTTGCTGAAACCCAATTGTTATTACTGGTTGATGGTACGAGCTGCTGTTACTGGGTTATCATACATATATCTTCTAGACCTAAAATTCGGATCTTTCCAGCTGTGTAGTTCATTCTTAGATGTAAAATTAAAATATACGAAATTGACTGGTGAAATAAAATATATTTGAACAGTTCAATCCACAGGCAAAAGGAAGAACAAGTCGACAAGAAGGCAACAGCACCTTCAGGCTGTTTCTCAAGGGCCTGTTTCCAACTCTGCTCAGACGCTACTCTGGACGTCTGACCCTCTTGTCGTAGAGATACGCCCAGTCAAGCCATTGTTATTACAGGGTCGTTTCGACATGCCCACCTGATGAAGTGGCCTTTTCAGGGATCCAACCCGCTTTTTCATCAGACGCCTGTCTATGTCGGACCGGTGAAAGTCTATGATCAGGACCCGGCGCAGCTCATCATTCCATAACATGTTGGCAGACCGCAGGTCTTTATGTACCACTCCCAGCATGCGGATTTCCTTCTTCGACCTGGAAATCTCACGACTTAGCATTTCCTTGTCTTTGACGTTCTCTATACTCTCCCCCGCCCAACCCATGAGAAGCATATGGCGGATGTCCCCAGCACCATGGAGGAAAAGGAACAATTTCAAATCAATCGTCCCCAGAAATACAGGGACAGCAGAACCCTGTGCTTTCTGAAGAACCCGGTATATTTCTGCTTCACGTGAGACAACTTTCCATAGCCCGGCTGTTGTTCCCTTTCCAACAAGAGTGTAGCCATATGCAGCACAAGTGATCTTGAAGGGTGCACCATACAATCCACAAGTCCCAAATGGTGTGCAGTTATGATCAAGGTCATGATTGAGCTGTTCATTCAGTATTTGCACAAGCTTCCTTGCATTGATACAATGTCGATCATCATTCTGGCCTCGCCGGTGGAGAGAAACATTAGGGCATTGATGATCCAATTCACCTTCTTGTTGCAAACTCAATAAGCATCGCTGCGTACAGTAACGTGCCGTGTGTTGGCTTTGGCCGCTCGATGGCCTAGGATCTGCTGGGCGCGCCGATGAATGCTGGCTGGGTGGGGAGGACATCACTTGGCTGAAGCCCCGCTTCCGACCGTGCGCTGCTTGGTTAGAGTCGGAGTCAGAAGAATCCATATGATCACCCAAAGGAGAGGTATCTATTGGTGCACAGGTGGTTTGAGATCGGGTAGAAAGTCGATGGCCGGGCTGTAATGGAGATGATTGCAGATGTTCAGAGGGCATATATTCCGAGCTTGCATATTCCGATCCTGGAGGAGTTTGTTGCAGCTCGTCATCGGGGATTTGCGATGGTGTAAAGTCAAAACTTGTCTTCCATATATGGAGCTGGGATCTTGCAGCATTCCGCCACTTCTGGTCACGGATATCCGAGAGAAAGGACATCAGACAGAGACATAATATTCTGGCAATAGCTGTCTTTGACTGATAAAAGACCCCAGGATTTTCTGAAATCACATCCATGTTTGGTTCACAGAGATAGTAATAGAGTGTACTAGGGTCGCTGTATGGAACACGAAGAAGAACGATAGCAAATCCATTAGTTATGTAGGAGTACTCCAGTCCAGCTTGGATCATGACATGATACTCCTGAACCAAAACTGAGCAAGTCAGCTGTTCCGCATTATATCTCAGCTTTTCATCCTTGTTCAGCTCATCACTCTTGGGGATCGTGTCTGACTGAACAATCTCTTCCCAGAGCTTCATCGATCGAAGGCCCGCTCGGAGATTTTCAACCGAGAGCTTGTGTGGCGGCTTATACTCGACTGTCGTAATCAAAGTATTGGTGGAATCGTTGATCCGATGAATACAGAATGAATCTGGTTTGGGATGTTTTGTGCTGGACTCATCAAGCAGCTGTACTTCTGACTCTTCTGATTTCTGTAGAATATTTTCATGATTTTCAAACAGGATCCCATCTCCAAGCCGGAATCTCTCTCGGGCATCAGGTATTTTGCATAGCTCGGCTATGATATCATGGACATGATCTTCCACAGCGGTTCGCTCGTAATGTTCCAGATCCTTTTCACTTCGTAGTTTTCGGCTAGAATACCGCCGACCAAGTTCATTTAGCACAAGAAGAGATGTGAATAGCCGAGGTGCGTCTTTTCCAGCTGGTTGCAGGTAAGTGGAAACTGCATCATAAATTTCTTGCAGTTGAACCGGACAGCTTGACCAAAGGCGAAGGCTCGTTGGACAGTATTTCCCAGTGGGTGATGGAATACTCCCCTTCGTGGAGCGGGATGGCGTTCCAACCTGCAAAGGCCGGGAGAATGAATCATGACATCCTTTGATGAGCTCTCCGAGTGTTGTCGGCTGGCTGCGCACTTTTTCCTCTGCCTCTCGCTCTTCTGCCTGCCTTCTCAATTCTTCCGCTTGCCTTCGCAACTCTGCTTCCTGTGCCTCTCGCTCTTCTGCCTGCCTTCTCAATTCTTCCGCTTGCCTTCGCAACTCTGCTTCCCGTGCCGCTCGCTCTTCTGCCTGCCTTCGTTCCGCTTCCGCTCTGCGGTAGAGAGCCTCGTAATCTGATGAACTGTTATCGGCCATTAGAGGGGGATAAAGACTTATATCAAAAAGCGAAATGAGTACGAGGAATTTAAGAGAAAGGCGAGAATCCTCTAGCGGTGGGGAGAAGCGAAATATTTAGGATTAAACTAGGTATTAGTAATCACTGTACTTACAGGCTAGGTTAGTCTAACCTATTAAAATGAAATATTATGGGTTGTGACTAGGATGGATGGTACTAAGTCAAACTGGATTACACCGCGAAATATACACAATCCCAGAGCCAGACTACCTGGCAGACGGCGAGAACGAGGGCTCTCCCCCCAGCACACTCCAGCAGCCAGTATTTTGTACAAATGTTTCCTGGTGATGACGGATTGCAAAGATTGTGTGATTTTTGCATCGGCGGGATATTCACGGAACAGCCAATCTTCCAAGCGCATGTCGAATGATTTGTTTTTTACGCTTCCAAATCGAAACTGCTGTCAAAAAAACGCTGCGAAAAGGTGGTGTGCATGTGACTCTTGCCCCATGGTGGGGCAAGGAGAACCACGAACAAAGGAGTAACTATCTTCAAAGGTTTAACGACAACAAGACTCAACATCATCCAGGGGCTGTAAATAACTTGATTGTTCTGCCCGACCAGCTCCACCAATCTGCTCCACCCTACCTGCGCTGTGGGGCGGCCGTTGCACCCTATCGTTAATATTCCACCCCGCGATTTATTCCACGATTTCCCCCCCTTCCCCCCGCCCGCACCCCTCTTACACGTCGGGTGAGGCAAAACCTCCGCGAAGTTCTATGACATATCAATCATCTACCACTAAAGAACGAACAAATGGACATACTAGGACATTTATTGAGCCTTGTGTGACTAGAACATAAGTAGGTCTGGCGCTCCCATCTTGACCGCATTGTCTCAATAGAGACGATGCCAAGTACTCACCACATCTCACCTCTCACAGGATTATTCGCAGCGGAATTGATCGGTGATTTTGAGAAGTTCAAGGGTCGCATAGCTGGATTTCTGTCAGAATGGGTGTCACGGATGAATATGTTGGAGACATATGAATCTTATGTGTATCAAGATCTGCTTCTTATATTATCCGTACACTATCTATTATATCTAATTCCATACAAAAGATAGAGCTATTTATAGTAAAACAAATGTGCGAGCCAAGAGAGCCAGCATAAGCGAGTATTAGAGAAGCATTGTAGTAAGCTGATGATGATAATGTTGGCCCTTACGGCCGTTGCGGTTAGCGATCCCACTAGATCACGTGACCCACCACTATATTATGTTCTTGTAGATAGATCTATCAATACACAATCTTCAACTATTCTACAGGTTATAGCCTGGATGACATGTTTTTCTTTTTAAAACATTGTATCAACATTTTTTTAACACAGATAGTTTATCTTTTTTGAAAAGACTCTCACTCTTTATTAGAGATATTTCATTTTCTCTGAATCTGCTAATCAGCAGATTTATATACTTTATATTTTTTTAAGAAAGTATATTCTTCATTGTGAAGAATATCACTTTTTTTTTTTATATTTAGAAGAAGCAGAGTTATTTTAATAAGTAATATATCTGTTACTTCAGAGTTCAGCTCAAGACTTAGAATCACACACTTCACTAGATAACTCATTGATAGAATAATCACTCACTATAAGAAGACTTCTAACTTGTAAGATAAGACTGAGATCAGTTTTTATCAGAGTATAAAATTTAATAATGAGATAATAAAGAAACTTCAGAATAAAGAAAAGCAGAGTTAATATTTATTTATAGAATCTGTTTATTTCAACTCATTAAATTCTTCACTATTTCTCACTCTCAGAATGCTGACTTTTAACAGTAATCTGAATTAATCTATCTATTACACTGTAAATAATCTTATAAATCTTATACAGATAATACTATAGAATCAGATAACTATGACTGAAATTACTTAATATCTCACTATATCTATCTCTGTACAAAGAGACACTACAAGAAATAAGTTATAGAAATATTAGAAGAAAGTTAAATATATACTAGATATTAAATCAGTGACTACATTTAATAACTCTAATTATAAAGTCTGATATATTGATATATTAACTGATATGAAAGTTATTAATAAAACTAATATTCTATTGAGAACTTAATAAGAATTCTCTTTTACATATTATATCAACTCTGAGAAGTAAAGAATTTATTTCAAGTCTCTATATAAATGTATACTATTGAGTCTTATTAAAAATGTTTGAATCACTATTAAAATCTTGAAAGCTGACAATACTGTAGCTCTGTGAGATAAGATTAACATTAAATATATAATATCATTAATAGAAGAATGAGTTAATATCTTTAAGAAATTGATAAAATTATAAGTTAAGAAGAATGATTATCTTACTTTTCAGAGATATTTCTGCTATTATTATAAAAAGCTCTGTGTCACGCTTCTGACCGCGTCAAGGCCCTGCTGTGGTTTCACACAGCTCATCACTTTCATGTGAATAATTTCATTCATTTCACAGGCTAACTGAACCGGTTTTCAACTGCTCTATGACATCATTCAGATATATCATGAGAAGATTCAATTGATAAATATGAGAACCTCACTTCTATACAAGATCAGCAGATTACTCTTTCTTAATAATAAGATACTGCTGAGATATCACTCTGACTATTCTTACTTATGAAATGAGAGAAAAGTATTCACTCATTATCTATATAGAATAGCTAGATACTGACTTCTTATTAAAAAAGTCAGTGATTTGTTTCTTTTTTTCAACTGAAATATATACAAGAGTTACTGTGTATCTTATACAATCTTCTTAGTATACTAAGTATTATATCTGTGATATTCTCACAATAACCCTGTAGTCTATGAGCTCACTATTTAAGCAAGATAGTTAAGCTTACTTATACAGCTTCTTAAAACAACTATCTCTATATAATGTCACTGACTAGTCACTGCTTCAGTTTCATTATATTACAATTCAAATCACTCAATCTGATTATACATTTGAATCAGTCAAGCTCTAACAGACTGATATAACCTCATGCACTTACACTGAGACTGACTCAATCTCACTCTCTGAGAGAAACATTATATTATCTTCTAAAGTGTGTACATCTCTATCTCAGCAGAAATCTGAGATTTCTGAACTCACTGTATATTTTAACATAAGCTCTTCAACTGTTCTATTACTACTGCAGTCTCTACACATCTACATCTATTATAAAGATAGAGAGATTAAGATTAAAGATTCTCTGAGATATAAGAGAAATATCTTATCTGAATTTCACAGCTTTATCTGTACTCTTAAATAGAAATTCCACCTTAATCTGAGCTAGTATAATACTCATAAGATATAAGTAATATACACTGTCAACCTTCTTGAAGACATCTCTGTAACTACTTGAGTTATTAAGAAGAGAAAGCTTGAGTGTATCAATACTATTATAACTTGAAAAGAATTCAAAAACTTTTTACTGAATTAAATTGAAGATTATTATAATTATAGCTTCACAGCAGTACAGCAGTTCAACTCATTATATTAATAAAATAATAAGAATTCTTTTAATTTCAATGTAAGATTTGAAGAATATTGAGAGAAATTAACTGATAATTTAAATCAATTAAAAACACAGCTTTATCTTATAAAGCTGACTTATAAGATGTGAACAATAATATTATAATATCAGAGTTTATTAACTAATTATACTGAGCTTGTTAACCTGGCTTTCTAAATCTATTTAAATAATCAATTCTCTGAGAAAAAGACTAATAAGATCTCTTCTAAGTAATTAATAATAGAATCTAAACAGTGCTGTGATGACTTCAATACAGAGAAAGTAAAGAAGAATTTCAAGTATTCTAATTCTTCACTCACTATGAAGAAATATTAAAAAAGATTTAACAAAGATCTCTGTTTCAACTGTGAAGCTGATAAACATTATATCAGTAATTATAAGAAGCTGAAGAAGAGAAGAAACTGAGAAGATATCTTCTCAAAGTTAACTTCTCTTCTGATAAACATATCTGTGAAAGATAAAGAAGAGAAAGAAAAGAATTGATAATTCTCACATCTCTGAGTTTATATTACAATCACAATATATACTCTGAATGAAGAGATATCAGTGAGATATCTACTCAACTTCAGAATAGATATCAACTTTATATTCTATTTCTTTTCTTTAATAAAAAATTAAAAGAAGATAGATCTGTCAGATCATATAAAATTTACTGATGAAATAAAATATCACTATTTTAACATAATTTAAGTGAAGTGTGTGATCACAGACTTAGAAGAAATCTTTAAGAAGAGCAGTCTACTTCTTCACACAGTTAATATTATAGATGAGAATGTCATTCTAAATCTTCTGTGATTGAGAGAAAACAATTCTCTCATTAACTGAGTTACTTAGATATGATAGTACTATCTCACTGATGAAGAGACAGTAATAGAGAAATCTGAAGAGTTTCATTAAAAGAATCTTGAGAAAAAGATTGAGTTGATATACTGCATAGCAGGTGATTAAGACTTAAAGACAGATAAAGAAGCTATCACTCTCACTACAAGATTAGCAGCAGTATTTATCATTGAAGACAGATATATACAATATCTCTTTACAGATTTTAAGAATGTCTTTTTGAAAAGAGAAGTAGTGAAGTTTCCTGATATCAAGATATGATATAAGATTCATCTTGAAGATGATATTACAGTGCTGTACAGACCTCTTTATAACTTGTCTGTAAAGAAGTTAAATATTCTGCACAAATATCTTGAAGAAGTGTAATCAAAGAACTGAATATATTTATCAAAGAGTTCAGCAGAAGTGTCTATACTCTTTATACTTAAGAAGAATAGTAGACTATGTCTATGCATAGACTACAGAGGCCTTAACAAGATAACAGTTAAGAATCACTATTCATTATCATTGATTGATGAGATGATCAATTAATTATCTGAAGTGAAAATATTCTCAAAGATTAATATACAGAATGTCTATCATAGAATCAGAGTTAATAAAGACAATATTTGAAAAACAGCTTTTCATATTAAGTATAGCAATTTTAAATATCTTGTTTTATCTTTTAATCTTTGTAATACTTCAGCCATCTTTCAGACCTATATAAATGAGATACTGCAGGGTCTTGTCAACATCTTCTGTATAATATATCTGAACAACATTTTAATCTTCTCAAAATCAGAGAAAGAACATAATATTCATGTTCAAGAAGTGTTGAGTCACTTGAGACAGTATTAACTCTATATAAACATCAAAAAATGCTTGTTCTACATGCAGGAGATTGATTTCTTAGATTATATTATTAAGATGAATGACATTTCAATGAACAGAAGCTGAGTCTCTGTTATTGAGAACTGATCAGTACTGTGAACATACTGTGAGATGCAGATGTTTCTAGAATTTACAAATTTCTACAGATGATTCATCTATACATATTCACAGATAACTGCCTCTCTTACAGATCTGTTAAAGAGAAGTATGAAAGACAGAAAAATAGAATTATTTATTCTCACTCAAGACACTATACAGGCATTTATGAAATTGAAACAAGCTTTCACAGATACTATGATACTGAATCACTTTAACTCTGACTTACTCAGTCAGTGTGAGACTGATACATCTGAGAATGAGATCTGTGAAATCTTTTCATAGTTAACACTGAAGACCTTTCAATATTAAAAGAATCAGAGAATAGTCATCTCTAAAGAAATAGATAATGAATTATCTGTGAAAGAAGACTTTTTCACAGAGTCTATAAGACACTGTAAATGAAGATCAGTGATCTTCTTCTTCAAGAAGTTATCACTCATGCAGAGAAGATATGATACTTATAATTAGAAGATATTAACAATTGTTGAATTCTTTAAGATCTGATGACATTATCTTCAGAATAGTAAGTACTCAGTGCAAGTTCTCACTGATTATACAAATCTGCATTACTTCTTGATAACAAAGAGCTTGACAGAACATTAAGCCAGGTGAGCAGAGCTGCTTTCAGAGTATAATTTCTATATCTGATACTGTTCAGGTCAGCTTAACTCTGCTGATGCATTATCTAAACAGTCTGATTATAATATTATTGATATGAAGAAGAATTCTATAAAAGAATCTCTATTATCACTGCAGAAGAAGCTGGCTGCAGAGAATTAAGATTCTCTAAAGCTCAGAAACAGCACTGAAGAGGCAGCTGTGTGACTCAGTATAGAA